GTCCCTCGAATTTATCTCCTTTCCATTCCCATTCTCACTTTCCTACTTCCTCAGTTCAACCCTGTAACTTTTTTCCTAGGTTAAGGCAATGGTCTCACAACTACTCTTCCCAACTGCACTCCTGGTTCCCTCTTCCCAGCCTTCATGATGTTGCCCAGTGGTCATTCTAAATCATAATCCAGTTGTGGCATTCTCTTTAAGTTCTGTGGTTCCCTAAAACCTATAAAATAAAGTCCAAAATTATACATGGGATACATGGCCCTTTAGGATGAACAACTGCTTCTTTCCCCATCTCATTGCTGTACACCTCCCTACAACACCCTCCAAGCTTTAGTCAGATTAATCTATATCCCATTTGCAGAAATCCACTCACTCTCTTTTCCCTGGTGCTTTCCACATACTGCCACTTCTGTCCAGAATGCCCTTTGCACCAGCCTCTTTAGTTGGCTAAATCTTTCAAAGCTCAGCTCAGGAGTTAGAGTTAAGAGGTTAAAGAAATGAGGAAAGTAGTGACACTAAGCGAGGAAGGCCTCAAACAGCTTAAGGCTAACATAGAGAACAAAAGTTCTCACCTATGTCATAACCTTATTCTATTACAATGCAAAGGAAGAAAAAAGCAAAATTAGCAAATGCAATGTTTCATTTTCCAAACCTCAACTCTGTCAAAGCCTTTTGTTTAGATGTGTATGTGTATACACACATGCTTCGGGGAAGATAGGGTAGCAACCTAGGCAGAAACCTGAATAGGGAAAGGAATTATTGGGGCTCCTGGGTGTCTCAGTCAGTTAAGCCTCAGACTCTTGATTTTGGCTCAGGTCATGATTTCATGGTTCATAAGACTGACCCCTTCATCAGGTTCTGTGCTGACAATGCAAACCCTGCATGGCACTCTCTCTCTCCTTCTCTCTATGCCCCTCCCCTGCTTTCTCTTTCTCTCTCTCTCTCTCAAAATAAATTTTAAATAAATAAAAATTGTAAAAAAAAAAAAAAAAAAAAGGGAATTGTTACTCCTCCCTATTCCCACCCTCTCCTACCAAATCAGAAGACCAAAGAGACCCCCTTGGTGTGGCCTTCAGACTAAAGAACAGATGCATTTGGAAAACAATGACCCAGCTTATCCTTATATCCACTTATCTTCACAGAGAGCAATAATAAACACACCCTGTGGCCCAAAAACGATAACATTTTTAAATTTTATTTATTTATTCATTTATTTTTTAAGTAAGCTGTATGCCCAATGTGGGGTTGAATTCATGACCCCAAGATCAAAAGTCACATGCTCTAATGCCTGAGCCAGCCAGGTGCTGCAAAAGCTGTAACATTTTTAGTTCAGGACTACAAAATACAATCATGTGGCACCTCCAAAGTCCTCAATAAATAATTGTTGAATGGTCAGACACACAGAAAGTAAATAGGCAACATGGACAAAATGTTGATAGCTATTGAAGCTAGGTAATGAGTTTGAAATGTTCTAAAATAATAACTTTCTTTTAATGTAATAAAATCCAAATTCAAGTTATGTGTAAAGTATATTTAGTAAACAGTAAATGGTAGCTAGTAAATAGAAAGTATACAAATATCCCTCATTTCTGAATAATAATAATAACAGAGGTTTAGAGAACTAAGCAAGATCATGTGGGTTTAAGTTCAGCACACAACCTGGAATATGGAAATATATAACAAACACAAACTTTTCTGAGAGAGAAAGAGAGGGCACACACAGACAGGAGGTTGGGGAGGGGGGCAAAGGAAGGGGCAGAGAAGGGGGAGAGAGAGAAAAAAAAAATCTTAAGCAGGCTCAGCAGGGAACCCAACAAGGAGCCCAACAGAAAGCTCAATCCCATGATCCTGGGATCATGACCCTGGGATCATGACCTGAGCTGAAATCAAGAATCCAACACTCAATTGACTGAGCCATCCAGATGCCCCCACAAATTCTTTTTATTATTGGCTGATCTGGCTTCTAGCCCTGCAGTCAACAGAGTCTATGGCCTTTGGACTAAATGCTAGACAACAGGAGATCTCCCCTTAACGTCTCCCAGTGCCTTTATGAAGCAGTGGTTACTTGACAAAGTTTAGGTTTTCACTGAATATAGTGAAACCCCAATTAGGTGAAAGGGGTTAACTTTTCGGAGGTAGTTATAATGTCTGAAGGGCAAGATATGCCTGACCTTACTAATGTATTTTCTATGTATTCTTCACCCTGCCTCACCACCACCACCCCGACGATACACAATTTCTCTGGTATCCCAGAAGCTAGTAAAGACTCAAAAAAGCCACTGCCAAGCAAGCTGTCTTCATATAAACAAGACTGAATAGATGTTCTAGTGAACAGCTGGAGGTAGTAGGGGTTGTAATACTCGTTTCAGGAAGGATCAGGAAACAGAGGAGAAGATACTCAGCTGAGATCCTTTTCATCCTCTCTTCTTCGTCCCTCATTACAACTGGAAAAATCTACATCTACAAGTTCTGGACATTTGTCACAGAGCCCAAAGAGGGTGAGGCAAAACCTCCTCTAATCTCCAGGATGAAAACAGAACCAATTAGGAATTTCCCTATGAGTCAGGACAGCGTTTGACATACAACCACAGTTATACCTGTTATAATTTTTGTTGCTCAAAGGCACTTCTGCAGTCTAAAATGTAGAGAATATGATTAAATCTTCCTGTGATTCCCTGGGATTCTTGCCCAGCCCCAAGGCCATCATTCTTAGCTTTTGGTTCTTGCTGCACTTAACTGTCAAATGGAGAAGAAAGTATGAAGGTGGCAGCTGCATATATCACTGAGCCTAGAAAATACCTTCGAAGCCAGTCACTTGAATTATTCCTCACAGAAACTCATCTACACATCTTTAAAAATAAAATCAAAGCTACTAAATGGCTCATTTTCTTTCTTTTACAAGAGTACATAACTGGGTGGTACATTTGCACATTTTTCTAATTAGGTATTTTCAATTATTTAAATGACTGTATTCTAATATTATGAATAAAAATGACAGTGGGGGTGAGGGGAAGGAGAAAAGGTAAGGAATATCCATTTGACCAATGTTTCTTTAGAGCTATTGAAACAATTTCATTCATGTAGGGAATTTCAGATTAAAAAGAATAACAAGACCCTAATGTGAAACATTTTTATTATATAAACAATAATATATTACCTAAAGCATTATGTGAAAATTTCAGTTATAACAAGTATAGAAAATAATACATGCAACTTAAGATACTTTTATTAGTTTTAAATAAATAATTCTAATACTCTGATTCTAGGCTCAGAAGACTAAATCTGACAATAGAGAAAACACAATCAATTGTATGGTTAAGCAAGATATTTCAAAAGAAAATAAGCCTTTATTTAATAATAAAGGCTACCATTTAGCAACTATTTAGTCTGTTCTGGGCATATTGTCTACTTCTTTATGCACTTTGCTTTAATCTTCTCAGTAACACTATGAATAGGGTGCTTTTACTTCTCATTTTTGAAAAAAGAATGGAAACTCAATGTGATTTCATAACTTGCTAAATGTCACATAGCTAGTTAGTAGCTTATTATGTGAAAAAGTTTTATGCCAAAGTCTATGTGTTTATAGCGTCCACAAGACTATGTGTTCCACAAAGACAAGGACCAATATATGTTGTTTCCACTGGCACATATTATGTGTTCACTAGATACGAGTGAATGATTCAGTAACTAAAAGCCAAAAGAGAAACATATACATTTGTAAACTCACGCACTATTGTAGTATTTTTTAAATATTTTAAATTGTCCATTTATATTCATTACGTAAATTTGTTTTCAAGGAGGACCAAGGCCTCTTCCTCGGTTGAAAGGCTGCACTTTGTCAACTAACGTGATTTTGTGGCTGGGGGCCACAAAACATGATTTTGTGAGGTGTTATTTTTCTCCCCCGTTCCCCTCCTCACCTGTTCTCCCCACAACTCTGCTTCCATTTCAGGACTTAGTTCTGTGGAATCGCCTCAAGAAAATACACCGTAAAGAGCAGAGACACCAGCAAGGCTTTCAGATTTTCACATTTCATAGCCCAGAGAGCCACTAACCAGGCATAGGTCATGAGAACAGAGACATCCTAGTACATTCCATGAGAACTGATAACTGACTCCTTGCTCACCGTCCTCAGGCCTTTAAAGGTAGACCCTTCTCATCTGCGACAGTGAGGGAGAGAAAGAGGAAGGGAGTCCAGGAAGGCTTCAGGCCAATTATTTTCCCACCAACATGGCATGGGCTCACTTCGCACACGAATCTGTGGACTTAGATTATTAGTTACTATAATTATTTCCCCAGGTACTCCTCTTAGGAATCAACCACAACCTTCGACTTTAAGCCCTTAAAAAACTACCAACTTTTTTCTCTTTCAATTTGCTCAAAAATAAAATTCAGAAAATAGGTAAAGACCAAGAATTTACCTACCCCAACTCCATTCTTCGATACATTACACAAAAAGCAAAATAAGGCAAGAAATTTTGGTTTCCAAAGCTCACAGGAAGAAATCCGTGAAATTTAATACATCACGCCATAGAAAATCGACTACCTCTCCATCTGTAATGAAAAAACCAAGGCTTTACTTTGTGTTTTGTAACTAGCCACTGTAATTTTATAAAGAGAAGGCCGAACCACTTTACTAAACCACAGGGAACAAAAACTCCCAGTACATTCTGGAACGATATCCTGGCCAATCCGGCTGCCACAGACCTTACCCGGGATACGGGGCACGCAGCACTTAGTTCGACCTCCCCTTCATTGAAGACGTTTTAGAAAATTCTCCAATGAGAGACGCTTAGAGGAAGTAGGGCGTGGTCTCAAGGGGCGGAGAATTAGACTCTAATGGAAAGTGTGTGCTGATTGGTTGAGCGTGTTCCCTCACAGACCAGCCCTCTTTGGACGGCTGGTGCCATCCATCAAAAGAACTACACCAATCAGGAGAGAACATTTTCCCCTCCCCCTCCCGCCCCCGGAAAGCCCCGCCCTTCAATATATTACTCAGGCAGTCCGGCGCGGCCCCTTCGGCTCGGAGCTGACTCTGTGGTGGGCAGTGTCGTCTGGGCGGCGCTGCGGAGACCTCCACCCAGGACGGCTCCCCCTCCCCGGGCCGCTCACCTCTTACCCGCGAGTCCCCTCGCCTCGTGGGCTTGTCGGATCTAATATCGTGGGGTGAGGTGAGAGCAGGCCCGGGGAGGGAGGTTACCGCTGAGAAGCCGCAGTCGCGGTCAAGGTGAGCTGGGACTTCGGGGTTGACTTCGTGGTGCAGCCGGGTAGCAGGGCTGGGGGCTTGGAGTGAGTGGTAAGTTCGTCCCGCGCTCTTTCTCTCCGTTAATTCCCCCGCTGCTGTAAGCAACAAGTCCGGGCTAGTTCGAGCTTGGAGGGGCGGGGCCAGTTCCGACCTCCTTAGATGTATTAACGCCAGGTTGGCCCACTCCCAGGGACCATGCCAGGGCAAAAAGAGCTGGGCCCATAAAGTTAGTGGTTCCTCATCTGCCCATCTGTCGGGCAGCTTTAAAGATCCCCTTGCCTGCCTGTCTTTCAGTTGGTATGGGAGGTAGTCTTGTATCTGGGGCTTAACTTGTGTCCAGGACCTAGTGGTTGTGGAATACCGACTCTTAAATTAATGAAACTCCTAAGTCCATTTTGCCGGCTAAATTAGCCTCCTGCCCTCACTACGTGTTCCCGGAGCACCCTTTAAGTTTCCTTCCCTGACACCAGTAAAAGTTATTATTGAGCGCTGAGTGTTAAGCACTGTGCAAAACTCTTAGGTGAATCATCTTGTTTAATTTTAATAGCCATTCGGAGACCAATATTGTTACCTCGGTTTACACAGGTAGAAATATGTTCATTATTATTGTCCAGTGTTTATTAGGAACCTATTATATGTGCTAAGCACTATACCTAGGTGATTTTATTTTTCTACACAAGCCTCTGAGGTAGGTAATAACAATCATACCCACTTTACAGATGAGGAATTAGGGATTAAGTAAAATTAACTAACATTAACAGTTCATGTTGCTAATAGTTGGCAGAATACATACTACCATCCAATTTCACCCTTGCAGCATCTATATTCATAGTTATCTCTTGACAGTGAGTGGCTTGAAAAAGGATTTCTTGAAGATTTGCAGTTTTTTTTAAGGCATGGCTCCCACCCTCTACGAACTCACAATTTGGGATGTGACCAACTGGTGGGATGAGGTAGAGCGTAACAGATGGCACTTTGCAAGGACTTAGATTCACTAGCAGCATTGGGGGGAGGGCAGACTTGTGTTATAAAGCACTTGGCTTTCAGTCCAAGGCAGGAAGAGCTTTTCTTACACTCCTTTCTGGGTCTTGTTCTATATATAGATGATAGAGGTACTGACAACAACTGACTCTCAGAAACTGCTACACCAGCTGAATGCCCTGTTGGAACAGGAGTCGAGATGTCAGCCAAAGGTCTGCGGCTTGAGACTAATCGAATCTGCACACGATAATGGCCTCAGAATGACTGCAAGGCTAAGGGACTTTGAAGTAAAAGATCTTCTTAGTCTAACTCAGTTCTTTGGCTTCGACACGGAGACATTTTCTCTAGCTGTGAATTTACTGGATAGATTCCTGTCCAAAATGAAGGTATGTTTAAAGCGACATTACACAAGAGTATTTCTTAATTTTGCTCAGTGTGTTTTGGAGATGGAATAGCTAGCTTTGGGCTGGTATTCATAAACTTGACCTTTTTTATTTTCATCAAGTAGCCAAAACATTGTGATGATTGATGATACATTGATCACTGTATACAGCATTGATGATACTCTTACTTATAATCAAGACTAATGCATCATTAGATTTAACTTCTGACATTGAAAAATAACCCAGTAACTCCCAGTATGAGAGGTGGCTGTTGTTTTTTAATTTTTTGGTTGGTTATTTACATTTATTTACCGTTGTTCTTAAAGAGTGTTAGAGGCTGAATGCAAAATTGTGGTTAAGAATTAGAGGTTTGGGGCACCTGGGTGCCTCAGTCAGTTAAGTGTCCGCCTCTTGATCTAAGCTCAGGGCTTGATCTAAGGGTCAGGAGTTCAAGCCCAGAGTTGGGCACCATGCTGGGTGTGAAGCCTACTTAAAAGAGAGAGTTTGTTTTCTGGTGTTTTTGTTGTTTTTTTGATGCTATCAACCACCTGGTCAATAGAGTATATTTCTTAATCTCTAGTCATATATAAAGTTATAGCTGTTTTAGCCCCAGACCTATTCAGATCTTGCTTATAATGGCCATTTCCAACATCAGTTTGCATACAGTAGAGAAGACCTTATCTTTTGGAGGAGGAGCATTTATGTAATTATTTCCCTATACTGGATAAGCGACATCCATGTTACTTTCAGGTCTTGCTTAACTGTTAAAAATACATCTGCCTTCTCTGTGCCCATTGGTGAATGAGATGATACAACAAATGGAATGAAACTCCCCTTTTCTTCCTTCACAACACATCATATACAGAAGGCATTTGTTGAATTGGATGGTTCAAAAAACTTGCCCAGACTAATTAAACTATTCTTTAGACACTACCTTTGAATCTATAAATGTTGCACAGATTAATAATATACATCTGTCCCTTAAGAATATTATAATCTTATGTGGGAATGTTTGCACCAGTAACTATTATAAAATGCAAAGTATAAGAAGAAAAATAATTTAACCCCTAAAAAGAAATAAGTATGTTGCTGAAGTGGTTCCAAGAAAGGGAGGGAACAAACACTGGTAAAAGCTTCTTAAAGTTTAGCTTAAGCTGGAATTTAGGGTGGATAGAAGCTTGACTCTGTTACATTGTAGGTATTCCGGAAATGACAATAAGTGAGAGATTGGTAGTGGGTAAAGCTTTACAAGCAGAGTAAACAGTGTGTGCTAAAGTATTTAAAAACTATTGTTACATGTGTTACATAAAGAAAACAGCCTGGAAAAACACAATATCCTAGAAGGAAATTTTGTGCATAAGTTGTAAAGGTGTTTCAGTCCTCACATAAGCCTTAGACCAGTTAATTTATGTGGCCCAACTAGACCACAGTGATGACAGTTCTATAGTGATTTAGAAAGGGGAAGGAAAAAAAAAAAAGAATTTCATATGGGCTGAAGCCAACCATTACACTGAAACATAGTCCACTTTCTGCAAAATTGGTTCCAAGTAGGTACACAGTATTGACTGGCTACAGTTGAAGTATGACTGGATATTGTTAAGTCCTTCTCAATTGAATATATTTATACCTCAAGGATACATTGTTATAATGATGGATCTGAGTTCTATATTGTCCTTTATGTTTTTTTGGGGTTTTTTTTTTTAATTGAAATAAGCTAAAGACATGGGCGTATTGTCTTTTTAGGTACAGCCCAAACACCTTGGGTGTGTTGGGCTTAGCTGCTTCTATTTGGCTGTAAAATCAATAGAAGAGGAAAGAAATGTCCCATTGGCAACTGACTTGATTCGAATAAGCCAGTACAGGTTCACGGTTTCAGACCTGATGAGAATGGAAAAGATTGTATTGGAGAAGGTGTGTTGGAAAGTCAAAGCTACTACTGCCTTTCAATTTCTGCAACTCTACTATTCACTCATTCAAGAGAACTTGCCAATTGAAAGGTATGTGACCTTTGTTTTGCCCAAAAATTTGGAAATCAAAATTGTATTCTGGATGTTGCACATAATCAGTATCTTGGGATAATTCCAGTCAAAATAAGTAAAATGAGAAAAAAAAAGTAAAATGACAGGTTCAGTATCTTGGGTTTTTCACTTCACTATCCAGCAGAAGCTGTCAACAGCTTCTTGAAGTCTGCAGCGGCTAATTCTTCGGATTAAAGGACATGTTTACATTTTTTTATTACATTTTCCATTTATAGACTAGTTAACTCATAGAACCTAGTAAGTAAGAATCTAACAGATTTCTGGAAAAAGAACTTTAGTAGCTGTAGAAATAGAGTAAAAAAACTGGATAGTTGTGGCATGATACATTTTTGAGGAAGGGGGAACCAAATTATTTAAAATTCATGGATATCTTCAAAAAGTTAATGCCACGGGGCGCCTGGGTGGCTTAGTCGGTTAAGCGTCTGACTTTTGCTTAGGTCGTGATCTCGCGGTTCGTGGGTTCGAGCCCTGCGTCGGGCTCTGTGCTGACTGCCAGCTCAGAGCCTGGAGCCTGTTTCAGTCTGTGACTCCCTCTCTCTCTGACCCTTTCCTGTTTACGCTCTCTCTCTCTCTCTCTCTCTCTCCTAGAAATAAATAAAAAATATTAAAAAAAAAAAAAAGTTAATGCCACTGAAGGAAAAGGAATTCGTCAAGTAATTTATTTTCTGTGATAAGTGTGCATAAACTTTACTTTAAAATGACTTCAGGGGCACCTCGGTGGCTCAGTCAGTTAAGCATCCAACTTCGGCTCAGGTCATGATCTCACAGTGTGGGTTCGAGCCCCACGTCGGGCTCTGTGCTAACAGCTCAGAGCCTGGAGCCTGCTTCGGATTCTGTATCTTCCTCTCTCTGCCTCTTTCCTCTTTGCGCTCTGTCTCTCTCTCCCTCTCTCAAAAATAAATAAACATTAAAAAAAATGACTTCAGTGTGGTGCTAAAAGTCTCTTGTGACTACATTTAAATTTTCTATAAAAAATTAATCTCATTTTCTTTTTAAAGGAAGAATAGCCTTAATTTTGAAAGACTAGAAGCTCAACTTAAGGCATGCCACTGCAGGATCATATTTTCTAAAGCAAAGGTGAATATTTTATACAAAGATTAAACCTATTTATATACCTATTTTCTATTCAATACTTAACTTTAAATTTTATCTTTTAGCCTTCTGTGTTGGCATTGTCTATCATTGCACTGGAGATCCAAGCACAGAAGTGTGTAGAGTTAACAGAAGGAATAGAATGTCTTCAGACACATTCCAAGGTATGTCAAGGTCATAGCTTAAATCGTGTTTACAGCTGTCAAAGAAACTAAACCACTTGTACTATCTCCTAAAGTAAAATGAGATGTCATGTGTCTGTTTAAAACCTAAGTAGCTTATCTTCAAATTTATTTGACTAGGAAATACACATCAAGATGGCAATTATTGCTGTGAATACTATAGGACTTTTTTATTGACTACTTTTTTTAATTTACGTACAGATAAATGGCAGAGATTTGACCTTCTGGCAAGAGCTTGTATCGAAGTGTTTAACTGAATATTCATCAAACAAGTGTTCCAAACCAAATGTCCAGAAGTTGAAATGGATTGTTTCTGGACGTACTGCACGGCAGTTGAAGCATAGCTACTACAGAATAACCCACCTTCCAACAATTCCTGAAATGGTCCCTTAATTATTTGGTAAATTTGGTTCATAGTTACTCTCCATATAGAGAAAATCTTCTAACGCTATAGTTATATTCTGTATTTCAAGAATTAACATCTGAATTTATTTTCAAAATAAACAGAATGGAATTTAAATAGTAATGGAGAAAATGATGTCACTGATCTAGTCAGCTAATATTTGAGGGCATTTACTACATTTAAGATAGAATGCCATGAGAGTAAGGAATTATCCAACCTTTGATATGTACATTAGCCACTTCATTAAATTATCAGCTTAGAAAAATACCTTAATAACCTGAATTTTAAAAGAAACACTAAGACAGTATTTTTCACCTCATTTTGTTTTGTGTAGAATCAAGTTCTGGCACATTTACAGTTAACACAAGCCTGAGTAGGACAACAGGACCAAAACTTTGAACCATAAATGAACTACTTTGAGACTATTGGCTTATAAGCAAAATCAGTATGAACTTGGATGTGGTACTTTAAGTTATGGCAGATGGTCTCCACACTAGGTATCTGCAAACTGCCAGGGTGTCTCAATGCTATAGTTGTATACCAGTGTTATAGTAGTTGGAACACTGGAAAATAGTTATATGCATAAAAAATGTAAACCTTGTCACTGATATGATATACATTCATTCTAAACGTAACTGAGTGGTGATTTAACTTTTTCCTACTCAGACTGAGTATTATCACATCTATATATGACAGGACTATAAATCTTTGAACAGTTGATTTTTAACAGTTAATATTTATATTTGGTAGACTTCTGATAACTTGACTTTTTTGTTTCTTTAAATAGGATTGTTACAACAACAAAATACTCTGAAGCCTTTCTCCACAATCCTGAGCTATGGATTCCATAATGTTATAATGGATTTAAGCTGTGAAGCCTCAAACCAGCACAACGAGATTAGCATTGATGTTCTCAGATTTGGGAAAACTACCTAATTAACATGCTGTAGTGGAATTATAATTAAATTTGAATTCATCTGTGAGGCATACAAATCAAAGCTAAGAGTATAAATGTGAAATGTTAATAACAGGCCTGGGAAGGTAAACTGTGAATCTTCATTTCAAACATTGATCCAACTTTCTAGATTGGGTCAGCATATTGTATTTAGGTGGTATTTAAAGTGGTAACCTAATTAAATACTAAATTATGAGGTATACATCAAACCCAACATTTCACAAATGCACTTTTAAAGCATGACAAGGGTTACTATTCTAGGCAGTGAAAATGGTTTCTTGGTACCTGTTGTGCAAATAATAGATAATCCAGAGATGTGGACTTTATTACTACTTGGGAATTACATTTAAATTTAAGGGCATTTTATAAAAGCAAAACTACAGACCTAGTCATTTTGGCACATTGGGTTATCTTTAATATTTTTTCTAAAAAACAGGTAATGTTTGTATCCTTGACAAAACAGTATCCACTGCCTCCATCTAATCCCATCAAGAAAAACTGGTTTTATTGTGTAATTCAAAATAACCTCGCTCCAGAAACCTGATTTAACACTCCATAAGTTCTTTACTAAGGGCTGTTTTTATAAAAACTGCTGTTTTTATAAAACTAGGGGCACTGGGTGGCTCAATCGGTTAAGCATCCAACTTAGGCTCAGATCATGATCTCACAGTTAATGAACCCTGCATCATGCCCTCTGCTGTCAGTGCAGAGCCTGCTTTGAGTCCTCTGTTCCCGTCTCTATTCCCCTCCCCCACTCGCACTCTATCTCAAAAATAAACATTTAAAAAACTGCTAATTTAGAATTTTAAAAGGAAGAGAATATACTTTCACTAATTGTCCTTCATGTGCCAAAAGAAAGTCACTAAAAAAGTAAGTAGGTGTCTTCATAATTATGAAGTTGCTTAAGGTAGTATTCAGGATTTTCTATTAAGTCAATGACTATAAAGAGATCTATGGCATTAAAAGTGTTTTAAACAATTGCTCAGTGCAGTGAGTAGCCCGAGTCCATCCAGAATGACTGTACCCAATTTTGACCTCATGTTATGGGTAAATGTGCCTGGAAAATAAACCAAAGAACCATAATATATCCTATAGTTTTGTAAACTGTGTTTTGTGGATAACATCAGTTTTCCCAAAAGGCTGACCTTTTCAATAATCTGACTTACATCAGTGATAATTCTGAGTTGGCAGAGGTAGCCTAACCAACTACCATTATGTTTTGGTACTAAGGGGTATCTCTTGCAATAAAGTTACTGACATGCATCCTTTGCTGGTAGTTTGTGTTTGTTTCGCTTTCTGGTTTAACTATTTTGGCAATGTGATACAAAAGCCACAATAAGATGCTATCTCCACTCAGTTTAAATTTAGCAGGAAAATAAGATGCATAGTAGCAGAAACAAAATCTCTATTAACAGTATGGCTATTACCTAATTGTTGCTTTACTTGCTAATGGCTTTTTAGAAGACATAAGCTTAGGACAAATATGTTTAATGTGCATTAAAAAGGTGGTGTCTATGCAAAATTCGTTACTTCTCTCATTTAGATTCATGATCACTGTGGATATCCTTAATACAAATTCACCCTTACGTTGAGCTTACTTGAAGTTCTATACAAACTGTCTTAACTTAAACCGCATTCCAGCAAGGTGGTTGGTAATGACAGGTAACAACCAGGTATTGTGTTAGCCTACTTAGATCAGTTGGTAATTTGAACTGAAAGAATAGGATTTTGAAGTGATCATGTTTAATTAAACTAAGACAATGTGAACACTGTAAAGAGTTACTGAACAAAAACTGTTAAAAGTTCCTTTTGCACTTGGGTTAGATATACTTAATAACCCCTCTTTTCAGTGTTAGTTTTAAAAAGGACACCTGAACTTTATGTATTTCAAACTATATAGCATACTAACTAAAAACACAAAAGTCTGAGGGGCCTAGCTGGCTCAATCTGTAGAGCATGTGACTCAATCTCTGGTCTTCAGTTCAAGCCCCATGTTGGGCATAGAGCCTACTTAAAAATATAAAAACAAACATTTCTAGATCTAATATTTGTGATTAGCAATGATAGTTTTTTTACTGTCAGGTACTATTGTCATGTTTTATATGAATCATCTCTAATCCTCCAAATTAAATGAGAGTATTCCAATTTACAAATGAACTGGAGCCACAAAGGTGAGCGATTAGCCCAACGTCACATATCTGGTACTTGGAGTAAGGATTTAAATCCAGGCAAAGGCTGTGCTCTTAACCACTGTGCACATAACCTCCCAAAATAGATAATTACATGGACTTACAAAATTGTGTACTTTACAATCAAAACTATATTTTGGCCACATTAACTTCAGTGCCAGCAACGTGATCAGAAAATAATACTTTGGAATTTATTTTTCCTATTGTATACTAATAGAATAATTTTTATAAGATGTATTATTGCTTACTAAGTATAAAATCTGTAATTTTTCATAAGCCAAAATGAGTAAACCTAAGCCAAATAAGCTTGATTTACAGATGCCAATTTGCAGGGAGGGGGTGTCTGGCTCACTCAGTACAGCATGCAACTCTTGATCTTGGGGTCATGATTGTGAGCCCACACTGGGGGTAGAGAATACATTAAATTTTTTTTTAATAAAATATTAAAAGACATGCCAATTTTTGGTATCCTTTTGACAAAGTAGATTTTGGAGCAATTAAAATCAAATAAAAAAGGATCACTAAATAATGATAAAAGAATCAACTTACCAAGAAGACTTGGCAATCGTAAATTTGTGTGCACCTAATATCAGAACTTAAAATACAAGAAGCCAAAACTGACAGCATTGAAAAGAGAAATGGACAAAGTTTCAATTACATCTGTAGACTTACAACACTTACCAGTAATCTATAGTAATCAGCAAGAACATAGAAAACCTGAATGATACCAAATCACTGGATCTACTTGACATAAACTGTAACAGCAGATTTAAGTATTCTTTTCAAATAGACGGAACATTCACCAAGACAGGCCATATCCTGGGTCATAAAACAACTCTTAAGTAAAATATAAATACTAAGTATGTTCTCTGATCATAAATGAGAAAGCAATAACAGTAACAGGAAAATCTACAAATACTTGGAAACTAATCAACAGTTGACTTCTCAATAATTCATGGCTCTAAGGGGAAGTCAAAAGGGAGTAAAATATTTTGAACTGAATGAAAATATCAAAATGATGAAATTTGCTAAACCAGTGCCTAGAGTAATTCATATTATTTTTATTAAATTCCCTTTTATTAATTCAATTACTTTTATTAAGAAAATAAAAGGTCTCAATAAGCCCCCAGAGAAAGAAACTAGAAAAAGAGCAGAATAAACCCAAAGCAAGCAGATGGAAAATGGTCATTTAAAAAATGAGGTTAAAAAAATCAATGAGGGGCGCCTGGGTGGTTCAGTCAGTTGGGCAGCCGATTTCGGCTCAGGTCATGATCTCACAGTTCATGGGTTCGAGCCCCATGTCGGGCTTTGTGCTGACAGCTAGCTCAGAGCCTGTAGCCTGCTTCTGACTCTGTGTCTCCTTCTCTCTCTGACCCTCCCTTTCTCATGCTGTCTCTCTCTCAGAAATAAAACATTAAAAAATTTTTTTTGATCAATGAAACTGAAAACAATAAGGAATAGCAACAAAACCAAAAACTAGTTCTTTAAAAAAAAAAATGAAATTGACAAATCTCTAGCAAGACTGACAGGACATAAATGACTAATCTCAAGCCTGAAAGAGGTACCACTATGTTAAAGGGACACTCAGGACCGAACACAACCAACTATGCACATGGAAGTTAGATTAAATCAATCAATTCCTTGAAAGACATGAACTACCAGACCTTAGCTAAAATTAAGTAAACTAAAACAAAATTAACTAGATAACTTGAGTAAATTCTATTTTTAAAAACTGAATTTGAGGGGAAATTGGGTGGCTCAGTTGGTTAAGTGTCTGACCAGCTCAGGTCATGATCTCATAGTCTGTGGGTTCAAGACCCACATCAGGCTCTGTGTAGACAAGCTCAGAGCCTAGAGCCTGTTTTGGATTCTGTGTCCCCCTCTCTCTCTGTCCCTCTCCCACTTGTGATCTCTCTCTCAAAAATAAATGAATATTTAAAAAATTAAAAATTAAAAAAAAAAAACAAACTGAATTCAAGTGCCTGGCTGGCTCAGTCGGTAGAACCTGTGACTCTTGTTCTTGCAGCTGTGGAGTTTGATCCCCACAGTGGGTGCAAAGATTACCTAAAACAATCTTTTTTTATAACAGAATTTGTTGTTTAAAATCCTACCGGCAAATCCCATAAAACACTGAAGGAAGACAACACAAATTCTACAAATCTCCTAGGAAGTAGAAGAATCACTTCCCAACTCATTTTATAAGGCTAACATTACCCTGGTAGCAAACCAAGATAAAGATAATACAAAAACAAAAACTATCAACCAATATGTCAGATGAACAGGCACAAAAATCTTCAACAAACAAATCCAGATACATAAACTGCAGTAACATACCATGACCAAATCTGGGATGTGGGAAAATACAAGCAGGTTCAAAATCTGAAAATTAAATCACAATCTGAAAACCAAACAGGACAGGGGATGCCACTTCCACCACTTCTATTTGTCCAGCAAGTGCAATGGGACAACAAGAAAATAGACTTATGGAGTAGTGATTAAATAAAACCTCCTGTTTGTGGTTTTTGAACAAAATCCCAGGAATTCATAAGAAAAAGCTCCTAGAAATAAGTTTAGCAAGGTTAGCAAGGCCACAGGATGCAAGGTCAACAAACAAAATTCAAACATTTCTATGCACTAGTTATATGCAATTTCAAAACTGAAATTTCAAAAAATGTATCATCTACAACAGCTCCACAAAATGAAAACTTAGGAATAAATCTAACAAAAGATGTAAAATGCTTTACAAGCTGAAAAATCACAAAATGCTCATGATTAAAGTAAAAAAGTTCCTAAATGGAAAGATGTCCCATGATCACGGATTGGAAGACTTATGCTATTCCAATGAAAACCCTAGCAGGACTTGTTTGTAGATACAGACTAGCTGATTCTAAACTGTATACAGAAAGGCAAAGAAAGTTAAAACAGCCAAAACAATTTTGAAAAAGAATTAAATTGAACGAATTTTATACCCAATTTTAAGACTGACCATAAAACTATGATTATCAAAGCAGTGTGGTTATTTGTGAAGCAACAGACAATAGATCAATAGAATACAACAGAAGACCAAAACCAGACCCATATAAATAGCAATTGATTTTTGACAAAAGCGCAAAAACAATTTAATGAAGAATAGAGTGTCTTTTCAATAAATTATTTTTAAACAGTTGCACATCCACACGCAAAAATATGAACTTCCACCTAGATTTCAGTTTATACAAAAAAAAATAAAATGAGTGACAGGTCTAAATGTAAAGCATACAACAATAAAACTTTTAAAAGAAAACACTGGAAAAAAGTCTTCATATCCTGGGATTGCACCAAGAGTTATTAGACACAATACCAAAAGCATGATGAATTAGAATACATCAAAATTAAAAAACATTCATGCTTTAAAAGACACCATCAAGAAAGTGAAAAAAGCCTACACAATAGAACAAAATATATACAATATAAGAGACTGTGTACAGAATAAAGAACTCTTAAGATAACCCAATTTAAAAATGGGCCAAGGATCTGAATAAACATTTCTCCAAAGAAGATATAGATATATAAATGGCCAATAAGCACACACAACAAAGATACTCAACATTATTAGTCATCAGGGAAACGCAAAAAAACACAGTATGATACTAGTTCATATCCACTGGGATGGCTAAAATTTTTAAAAATCATATAAAAAAGTGTTGGCAAAGATGTGGAGATATTAGAAATTTCATACACTACTGGTAGGAATGTAAAATGGTGTAGCAACTTTGGAAAACAATCTAGAAATTCCTCAAATGATCACACACCATTTCTATAGAACTTGATATTCTATTTATAGGTAAGAAATGAAAATATACACACACATAAAACTTGTACTTGAATGTTCTGGCTATTATTACTAATTATAGCCTAAAGGTAGAAACCTCTCAAACGTCCATCAACTGACAAATGGATAAGTGTATGGCAGTTACACAGTGGAGTATTATTCAGACATATAGAAAGAAATACACACTAGAACATGAACTAAAACATTATGCTAAGTGAAAGAAGCCAACAAAAGACCACATATGATTCCATGTATATGAAATGTCTAGAAAAGAGAAATTTATGAGATAGAAAGCACATTAGTGGTTGCTTGGCTGGTGGCTTGGGCAAGGGAGAGTTGATAGCTAAAAGGTGTAAGGTTTTTTGAAGTGCTGAAAATGAAAACTGACTATAGTAAAGGTTGAATAGATGACCATACTAAAGACCATTGCATTACATACTTTTTTTTTTTTTAACATTTATTTATTTTTGAGAGACAGAGCATGAGCAGAGGAGGGGCAGAGAGAGAGGGAGACACAGAATTCAGAGCAGGCTCCAGGCTCTGAGCTGTCAGCACAGAGCCCGATGTGGGGCTCGAACTCACAAATGCAGAAATCATGACCTGAGCCGAGGTCGGTCGCTTAACCACTGAGCCACCCCGGCGCCCCCGAATTACATACTTTCACTGGGTGAAATGTACAGTATGTGGATTATTTTTCAATAAAGCTGGTTTTTTTTTTTTTAAGTATTACATAGGATTCCATTGCTGTAACATTCTTGAAAAGACAAAACTAGAGACAGTCCTATTCAGTGGTTGCCAGGGTCTGAGGCTAGGAGTGGGGTATAACTACAAAGAAGAGCATTGTTTTTCTGCTGATTAAACTAACCTCTTGGGGTGGATGGCTGTCTCAGTCAGTAAAAAATGGATCTACTTGATCTCAGGGTCATGAGTTTGAGCCCAATGTGAGGCACAGAGTTCAATCTCCTGATTTAAGAGGTGCTTACACACACTCTACATGTTAAAATTGACAAAACTTATGAACAGAATCTACATGTTAAAAATTCACAAAACTACAGGAGCACCTGGGTGGCTCAGTCGGTTAAGCATCTAACTCTTGATTTCAGTCAGGTCATGATCTCACAGTTCCTGAGTTCGAGCCCTGGATCGGGCTCTGCATTAACAGTATGGACCTGCTCAGGGTTCTGTCTCCCTCTCTCTCTGTCCCTCCCCTGCTTGTTCGCTATTTATCTCTCAAAACACATATTGTTTTAAAAAAATTCACACAATTATGAACAGGAGAGTTAAATTTACTGTTTATTCAAAAAAGGATTTTTTTAAAATGTCAAGAAGCCAATTAAAAGAAAAAAGCCTCTTCCCCAACAATTCATTCCTAAAGTAACTGGGTAAAGTGAACAAGGCAGACATTCTGACAAAGGGTATGGGTGGGCTGCACTGGTCCACAAAGGGATATGTTCAGGTGCAAGCAGATGAAGACATCCCTGCTTGGAGAAGGGTGTTGAAGCCTGAGAAGAATAAAGAAGGAATTCATGTGAAGAGACGACCTAGAATAGGGAACCAAACATATTAAGGATAATAGGAATCAGGCTTCTTGGTGTTATTGTTTTATAGAAAGGGAGAAAAGAAAAATGAACCCCATGGGATTAAATATGAAAGTGTGTGAACTCATGGTTTTCAACATACATATAGAAATACAGATACATATAAGCAACATATACACATACCAACAGCAATTGCTCACTAGCACACAATCTTGGCTTCTAAATAACATCCTCCATTTAAAAGAACCAGGGTACATTAAAAAAAAAACAAAAAAACATGGCTTTTTCTTGACCTAGGGCAGGGAAACCATAAGCCTGGTGTATCTCACGCAGGGAGTAAGAAATTACTCAAATAATGATGGGACATGTCAAGAAGTCACCTAGAATGGTCTTCCCCTGGCCAAATCAAGAAAAATTGTGAGCATCACAGTAATGGTAGTAATAGAATTTAACCCACTGAATAAAGTAGCAAATCACGAGTCCATATAGATATAGTTGGAAGTCTGATGAAAAACAAAGTAGTATTCTGAAACTACTTTCCCACAAAATAATTATAAGCCTAAAAAGAACAGTTTTACTGTGGATAAGACTGGCAGACCCCACTTATTCAGTGACCTAATACCATCAGAAAAAAGGACTAATCAAAGTTACTAACTCATGATAGGATGCAATAAGAACATGGTATTACTTCTGTAACACTCCTGCCAAAGATGCATAACCTGAATCTAATCAAGAAGAAATATAAGATAAAACTCAGAATGAGGGATTGTACAAAACTAGCTTGTCATCTTCAAAAGTGCCAAGGCTGTAAAAGTCAAGAAAAAAATGAAGACTTGTTACAGATTGAAGTAAACCAAAGACACCTGACAACTAATCTAAAGACAAGGCATGATTCTGACTGGATCCATTTGCTCTATAGGACATTATTGGGACAATCAGTTAAATTTGAATGCAATCAACATATGAGGATTATCAATGCTAATTTCCTGGTTTTAATGGTTGTATTGTAGTGATGTAAGAGCATGTCCTTTGCAGGAAATACACACTAAGGTACTCAGAGATGATGTAGCATCGTATGATAAACTTACAAAGAATTCAGGAAGAAAACAATCTTGTGTACTTTACATGTAACTTTTCTAAACATTTGGCATTGTTTAAAATAATTTTTAGGGGCACCTGGCTGGCTCAGTCGGTGGAGCATGAGACTCTTGATCTCAGGGTTGTGGGTTTAAGCCCCACGTTGGGTATAGAGATTACTTAAAAATAAAACCTTTAAAAAATATAGAGAGAGAGATTTTTAAATTTTAAAGGACATAAAAAGAATGAAATACAATCTTAAGACAGCTTGTACTTATATGCCTGGATCATTGAAGAGCAAAATTATGTCACTGACTTACAAACATTAACCATAATCTACTTTCTGTCACTGACAAAGGACTCACTCAATAACCACACTCACTTTACTGCTTGTTTTGCATTAATCTATTCCTATTGTTAGGTTTCTAACGATTTTTCAATTTCTTGACAGTCATCTTTCAAGGAATAATATGCTACTTCAAAAATTTTCATTAACTCTTAAAATTACATTACTCAGAGTGTATTTGTGGACTTTTCGTTTCTTAAAACTTTTTTTCAGGAATATAATTCCTTGTATGAACTGGTATACTTAGACAAAGGGGTCCACAGTTCCTATTTACAAAAGTTTATTAATCATTATTCCTGCATTACACTTATTGAAAGAAAAATTTAATTGTCCCTGAAGGCACCCGGTAATTTCACATGATCTATACCCTAATGGTTTTTGTATTAAAAATACAGGTTAAATATGAAATTAGTAAAATGCAGCATATAAAACTTCATGCCGAGCAAAAAAACAAGTCCAAAAAAAAGTTATTCTCTTTTAGTAGAATAGCTTCCACAGTATTTAAGATGTTTCCTATGTAAATCATATTTGAATACAATTTTTAGAACCATAGTTAAATATATTTTGCAATTTGTTAACTGCAGGTATCCACGTTTCCTTCCACCACATAATCTGTTCCTTTGATTAAGTTGGCAACATCTGCTGAAATCCACAGACTGCAGCAAAAAATAGTAGTGGTTTATTTCTCAAGATTTGAGAAATCTGGTCCACCTTTAGAGTAGTTTCCTGAGATTTCTGCTCCACTGAAGTCAAACCCAGGATTCTAAAAGACATGAAAAAAATTATGATAAAATAAATTTGTTAAGGAAAAATCTAAGTGACCCAAAAGGGAAATGGTAAAGACATGAACTAGCAAATGACAAAACAGGAAATCCACATGTCAAGAGACACCGAACCTCACGGTAATCACCAAAATAGAACTTAAAACTATACAGTATACTGAATTTTCAGATCTACAAATATTTAGAAGATCAATACGCATATTAAAATGTTGATAAGTGTACAAGCAAACATATACTTTCATGTAAGTATGAAAACAGATTTTAATAATTAGCATCATTTGAGAGTTTACTACATGCCAGTGTTCTAAGAACAATGCATTTATCAACATATTTAATCCACATAATAATCCTACGAAATAAGTACTATCTCACACTTTAGTCTTTCTGAAGGGCATTTCATTTATTCAACAAACGTTTACTGACTTCCAACCGTTTGGAAGACATCATTAGAGGCATGTGGAATTCAAGAGGGAATAAAATAAAGATCCCTGCACTGGTGGAGCTGCCAGTCTCACAGAAGGACACAAACAATAAAACTGTAAGTTAGCTACTACAAGGGTTGACAAACTTTACTGTAAACAGCCAAGCAGTAAATATTCTAGGCTATGAAGGCCATATAGCCTCTGCTATAACTACTTAAGTCTAGTATAGCTATATAAAAGAAAATAGAAAACAAACAAACAAGCATTGCTGTATTCCAGTATAACTTTATTCAAGAACAGGGAGTGGGGCAGATTTCACCCATGGGCCGTAGCTTGCCAGCCCCTGATCCAGAGTGTTAAAAGTTGGTGCAAGTGCTGAAGAGAGGAGAGAAGAGAGAAGCGAAGAGAAGCGAAGCGAAAAGGGCAGAGTAAGGGAAATGAAATTATAGTATTTAAATAGGATGATCAAAGATCAAAAAATGCTTTACTGAGCAATGACTTGAAAACAATGAAGAAGTCAGCCAAGCTTTGAGAGAACACTGTAGTCAGAAGGGCAGAAAAGGAATGGCCTGGAATATTCAAAAATACAAAAAGGCCAGTATGGCTAAGGTAGAATGACTGAAGGAGACAGCAGGAGAAGTCATCAGGGAGAGATCATGGAGGACCCGATCAGATCAGGGTTGGAAAAAGACTTTGTCTTTTACTAGAGTGAAAGAGTTCTGAGGAGAAGCGATGTGCTCTGACTTGCATTTCAAAAGGACTGGTATGCTATTTTGAGAACACTGTAGCTTGGCAAGGGTACAAGAGAACCATTAGAAGACTATTAGAGTAATCTAGGCAAGACATTACAGGTGGTCCGGATCAGAGTGGTTGTAAAGTTGGTGGCAACAAATGGACAAATTCTGAATATACTCAGAAGGTAGTGCCAGTAGGTTTTCCTAAAAATTGGACAGGATGTGTGAGAGAGAAAGCTAGGAATGGAGGATGATTCCCCATTTCTGAACAAGTAGTTTCCATCAACCAAGATGAGAAGGCTAGAGGTATAACAAGTATGGGAGGAAGTTAGGGAGTTCATGATGAACATGTTGAGTCTGATAGGTCAGATTGGCAAGTGGAGATGCTGAATATGCAACCAGAAATGTGAATCTAAAATTTGGAAGAAAAGTCTAGACTAGATTTACAAATTTGGAAATCACCATTATATACACAGAAATTATCCAACAAAACTGTAAGAGTGCTTTGATGCAGTAATTCTTCTCCTACATAAATAAATGGAACATTGGAATAGTTTCAAAAAGAAGAAAGAACATTGTTTGAAATAGATACAAATAGAAAAATCCAAATCTTATCAAAAGGAAAGAGCTAAATAATTAATGATGAAATAGTCGCACTAGAAAACATTCTGAAGCGTTAGAAGGGGAAAAAAACAACACAAATAATACATGTAGTGTGATCCTGCATTTATGTTAAATAAAAGCAGCAAGCCAATCTATTAGTGAAATAAGAATGAGACAGAAGCAAGGAATGGGGAGATTTTAATGAAAGGAGCTGATCACTTTTTTACACTATGTAAGTTTACATTAATTAAATTTTTATGAGTTCATTTGTGCATTATTGCTGTATATTAAGTAAATTTAAACTTATAAATTATGGCACTGCAAACAAAACCCTCCCCAGAAAATCTAAAAAAAATAAAACCCACAAAAAGAAACATTGGGTAATTTTTCTAACCGCTTAACTTTAAAAATTCCTTTAAAGAACTTTGTGATTTTTCTAAAACCAATTTGAGTTTTAATTTCAAAAAATTATTTTTCTATGATATTAAGATGTTTAATAATACATATTCATATACTCCTTTTACTTACTTCTTTCTGGAATCTTTCTAAAGTAAGTTTTCTCTGCATTTGGTCTTGCACCCAAGGATCAGCTGCATATTCAGATTCTAGAAGAGAAGTCCAACAATTTGCTGCATCTCTCTTTGTCTTTGTAAGAACAATACGGACCATTTTTCTGTCCTCTAAACAAAAATCACAAAGAAATTAGAGACCATATTAAATTTTATACTTTCAAAAACCATTAGATAATCTTGACATATAACTATTTTCAATACATTTCTATCCCTCTGTCATCCAAAGCTGCAAGGACAAAGAACCTAATACAACAGAAACAACATACTAAGTGGGAAGACAAAATTAACTTTTAAAAAAATGTTTTTAAATGCTTATTTTTTATTTTTTGAGAGACAGCATGGGAGTGGGGGAGGGGCAGAGAGGGAGGGAGACACAGAATCTGAAGGCTCCAGGCTCTGTTGTCAGCACGGAGCCTGACACAGGGCTCAAACCCAGGAACCGTGAGATCATGACAGAGCTGAAGTTGGACGCCTAACCAACTAAGCCAACCAGGCGCCCCGACAAAATTCATTTTTAAGAAGATTCCAAGAATTATAGATCATCCTTACCTAAAGTCCATGTTCCCTCATCAGCTATTGTAGAATCAAAGAGTTTGCCCTGAAAAATAAACATTTCAATACAAAAATAAATGAAAATGTTTATTTTAGTTCATGAAATATCAATATACTAAAAACACAAATATTTAATTTTTATAAGACTTTCATGATTTAAGACTTTGCTAATTTCTTTTTTAATAAAATTATTTTTTAAAATATTTTTCTATTTTTGAGAAAGAGAGAGAGAGAGCCGTAAGAGAGGGTCAGAGAGAGCGAGACACAGAATCCAAACCAGGCTTCCAGGCTCTGAGCTGTTAGCACAGAGCCTGATAAGGGCTTGAACTCACATTCTGTGAGATCATGACCTGAGCCAAAGTCGGATGCTTAAGTGACCACCCAGGTGCCCCAGCTTTGCTAATTTCCTATCTAATCCAGATGTTAATTATCTAGGTTGGTTATAGTAGGGAGATAAAGATTTTATACCATTTCAGCATATTGATAGGTTTTCAACCCTATCTTTCCTCCTAGCAAGTGAAATGGAACCTAGTTACACTGTTTGCAATATTTACTCTGGTAACACAGGGCTCTCTAAGGAAAGATCAGGGCTCCTTAATTTTTAGGAGATGAATAAATACTACTGATCACTTAGTAGCCAAATGTGCAATTAATATCTGAAATGCTTTAACGTTATCAACTAAAATGAACTAGCTTCCCTGCTGAAATTAAGAAATGACACCTTTTAAAATAAATGTTAAAAAACTGGTTCAATCTCTTTGTTGGGCAATCTAGCATCAAAAAATTTTAAAGCACATACTATAATTCTGATTTCAGATAAGCTGTGATGAAACTGTTGTTTTAAGAAAATAATCAGCAGAACCTAAGTTTCAAAGAGAATGGATCTGCTCAAATCCATTTTGATTTGTTGCTACTTACCAAATTTAAGTTTTAGGAAATGAAATTAACACATCACATAAACACATTTTTGCATATTTCAATACTCGTGAGAAAAAAATCCTACTAGTTTAAATGTACATCTAACATCCTAAAGTTGAAGTTACTGCTAAATTGTAAATAAAGTTACTAGAATTACTAAGGGAAATTTGAATTGTAATCTTAAACCACTACTCACAAAACTATGAATTGCACTATTCAGAAAGGTCATTAAAATTCAAGCCGACATAATGTCTTTCACATGACTCTCCTTTCCTCTGAGGCACTTAAAGCACTTTCACAGACATAAAAAAATAATAGTAGCCAGCATGTAGTGTACTCTGGTTACATACCAGACACTTGCCCAAATTCCTAATTCCCAAGGATAGCTCTTTATGCTCTAAACAATCCTATCGGAAAGGTTCTATAATTACCACTTTGTGGATGAAGGCATAGAAAGGGAAATAATCTCTTGCCCGAGGTTACAAAATTAGAGCAACCCCAGACCAGGTATCCTACATCAAGGAATCTCCCTTCACTATACTATAATCAAACATCTTGAACATGTAATCTGGGAAAGAAGTCCAACTTCAAAGTAAGTGAATTTATGGGGCGTCTGGATGGCTCAGACGGTTAAGCTTCCGACTTCAGCTCAGGTCACGAACTCATGGGTTCTTGGGTTTGAGCCCCACTTCCGGCTCTGTGCTGACAGCTCAGAGCCTGAATCCTATTTCCGATTCTGTGTCTCCCTCTCTCTCTCTACCCTCCCCTACTCAACGCTCTCTTTCTTTCTCTCTCTCTCAGAAATAAATAAAATATTTTTAAAAATGAAAGTATTGAATTTAATTATAAAGCTTATCCAGGAAAAAGCAGTTCTCAGATCCAAAGAGCATGATGAGAGTAAGAGGTATTCTCTCCAAACACCTCTAGACTGCTTAACCACTCCACAAACAAGCAGATTTTTTCTCATTTTGATGAAAAAATTAATCACCTAACATCATTTCTGAATCCTCATCCCTATATCCTTATCTTTTATTTCCGTCTTTACTTCCCTGTGCCTGCCTAAACAGTTATTAGTTTCATTTTATGCCTCCCTACAAGAATATAACCTAAGTGCAATTAACTTATGTCTTGTTCACCTCTGACCTCTTAGCACCTAAATCAGTGCCTGGAAGAAAATACATGTACGATAAACATTTGTTCCTCTAAAGAACCAAGTGAAGACCCGCAGAGGAACAAAAGCAGCAGCTTCATCTGGTTGAGAAATAAAGCCAGAAAACTGGGCTCCTCAAATCTCCACGTCAACTCAGGACCAGTGGGGTCTCCGACCAGAACAAAACTAGGCGTAAGCTATCGCTCTTTCCGGCAAGGAGCCACTCGACCTTCCAAGTCTTTCCATGGAAACCATGAACCTTAGGACTCGGGGACTTAGAGGCCAGGGAGAAACAGCACAAGCCTCTACTTGCCGCTACCTTAAGGATCTCGCGACCACCCACGGCCAGCGCCACATGCCGGCTCTGCAGGCCGCACTGGATGTCCTGGGCACGAGTCCCTGGCGGCACCTGAACTTCAATGAACACCTCCTCCAAGGTCTGGTACCACTGGCCCCACGGCGTTCCGCACGGAACCACCCCGCTGCGCTCCTCAAACGGGGCCGACATACTCCAGGAGACTCCCAGCAGCAACCGCAAGAAGCGAGGTGAGCGCACGCGCGGAGTCCCCACGCTTAGACCACGCCCCGAACTCGCGGCTCAGGTCACTGCACATGCGCAGGGATGTAAGCGACGCCTCAGAACGTTCCTTTTTCCTTTTCAGTGGCCACTTAGGACCCTGGCAGTAGCCGGTTTAAAAGAACTGGAACCCGGGGAGTTTACCCAAGGAACAGTGGGAGTAGGCTGAAACCAGTGAAATTAGAACTGACTGCACTGCCACCTATATGACGTCAAAGGCGGACTTGCGACCTTTTCAACTATGAAATGCGCTTGCGCAAATGCTGCTCTTCTGTAAGCTACAATTGGGTAACTCACGAATGATTGGACAAGGGTTGGGGTGGGGGAGGGAAGAGGCAGTAATAGTCTCCTATTGGCTGGTTAACCGGAACTCACGGAACGGCTAATGAGACGCGGCGAGGCCAGGTGCGCATGCTCTTTAGCTGTTCCTGTCTTGGATTGGTGTGCTCAGGGTTTTGGTTTTCAAACCTGCTGACGAGAAGGTGGGCGGGGAATAAGCGGGGAGATTTGAATTTGTAGCCAGTAAGCTGTGATAGGCAGCAGGAAGTTGTGGAGGACCGCTAGGGACCTTCGGTTTGTGGAGTCGGTCGTCAGAATGTCCTTTCCTAAGGCGCCCCTGAAGCGATTCAATGACCCTTCTGGTGCGTACGGGGAAAGGAGCTGGGGGAATGGGAAATGTCACGACCTTGCCCCTCTCGGTTCCCTTCATCAGAGGCTAATAGGCGATATTAGGACTAGGATGGGTCTCCTTCAGTTGATTAGTTTTTTTGGAATCTATACGAAGCATTTACTACATGCCTAACACTGTTCAGAGTGAGAAGCCTACAGCGGTGAATGAACCAAAGTCCCTGCCCCATGGAGCTTGCATTCAAATGGACAATACAAGCCAATAAACAATTAGTCTGAGGAAAAACTAAAGCAGGGGGAAGAGAATGGGGAGAAGGAATAAATAAATATGGCTGTTTAGTAGCTGTTTGATGGTCAAGTCCAGAAGGCCTCACTTACTTTAAAAAATATATATTGACTCCCGCTTTTCGTATGAACTTGTGAATTTTTTTTTTTTGGATATTCCACTCAAATAAAAGGTTGATTGGTAATGGCAGTTTATGGGTAAAATTATGGTAGCAGGACTTACTGAGAACATTGTTAATGAAGTAATAACAGGTAATATCAATAGTACCATGCTAATTATTTACATTGATTATTCTGTAATTGCCCAACATTCCTGAGAGATAATCTTGTTATTCATTATTTTATTGGGAAAAAAAGAGACAGATTTGCTCAGTGTTACAGAACCAAAGAAGCAGAAATAGGACGTGAAACCAGGCCTCCATGAATCTGTCCTGTGCTCTTTTTTTTTCTTTTTTTAAATGTTTATTTATTTTTGAGAGAGAGAGACAGAGCGAGCAGGGGAGGATCAGAGAGAGAGAGAGGGAGATACAGAATCCAAAACAGGCTCCAGGCTCTGAGCTGTCAGCACAGAGCCCAACACAGGGCTCGAACCCACAAACAGTGAGATCATGACCTGAGCCAGAGTCGGCCACTTAGCCGTCGGAGCCCCCCGGGTGCCCCATCTTGTCCTGTGCTCTTAACCACTGTAGTGCTTATTAACCAGGAAGACTCAGGTGTGGTTGGTGAGGCACCCATTCAGTAGATACAAACTGTATGCAGGGACTGTTCTCAGGTCTTTCCTATTAGATCTGGTTTACTCTTTCCAACTGCCAGGTGAGAAAGGTACTGATATTGCCCTCACTGTACACTTGAGGAAATGGAGGAGTTTTGTAACTGTACTGAGCAGTAAGTGTGGGTTAGGGCTGAACGTCAAAAAGCCCATGATTTATCCATTACCCATTATAATGTTTATTTTTTAATTGTTTTAAATTTATTTTTGAGAGGAAGAGCACATGCATACAGGCAGGGGAGGGCAGAGAGAGAGGGAGACAGAGGATCTGAAGAAGTCTCTGCTGTCAGCGTAGAGCCTGATGGGGAGCTTGGAACTTAGGAGCTGTGAGATCATAATCTGAGCCATGAAAGCTCTCCAATAATATACACTTTTTAACGATCCTTTGTTACATCTTAAACTTGTTAGCCAACATGCAAATAGAAATAAGAATCACTTTGTTCACAAACAAAGGCCAAGTGACAAATGGATCAGTTCAAGCATATTTTCTAAATTAAGAGATTCAGGGAATGTATTATTTCCTAGCTATTCAAAGAATCTTCTCTTGAGTTTTCTCAGCAGTGTGTCTTTTAAGGAGAATTTTATTTTCTTTATAACAGATTAAATTGGCTTTACCAATGTCACAATATTTCAGATTTTCAGTTTCAGGAGAAATAATAGTTATCATTTATTTGATGCTTTGTGCATATTTGAGCACTGTAGTGATTTATTACTCTAATAATCCCAACAACTATGAGGTAGATACTCTTATTCCTAAGTGGGTAATTCAGCCTCGAATGGAAATAACTTTCCAGGGGTCTTAAAGCTGGATCAGAAAATGAGAGAGTATAATGTTCTTATTCACATCTTTTCCCTATGACTGAAAGTACTTGGCACATAGTAATGTCTATTGATTGGCATGCAAAGCTGGATTTGAACCCTGATTGGGGTAACTACAAAACTCTATTCCCATTCTGACATCCCCAGTGACTTTCTATGTTTTCTTCACCATACTGCCAAACTCAACACTAAGCCAAATACTGGGGTTACAGGCATGATCAAGAGAGTTTCTAATTTCAACCAATTTTGTCTAACTTGAAAGATGAATAAGTACATTATCTAAGGCAGGAGAAGGAAAAGTGTATTAAAAGCCATTACAAACGTGACAGGTTCTTTGATAAGAACGCTATTCACAGGCTGCTGTGGAGGGACGTTTCCAACCTGATTTGGAGATTTAGAGAAAACTGGAAGAGGCTGAGATCTGAAGGGTAAGTGAGAGTTAGCCAGGCAAACTGGAAGATGGGCTGTCTATTCTAGGTGGAAGAAATAGAAAATAAAGACATCTGGAAGTTTGAAGCATATACATAAAATGTTTGGTTTGTTTACAAGTATTGACCACCTTTGTTAGCTTCCGATCGTTGTTGATCAAAATAGAAGTTGTGCGGGAAAACTTGTGATATCTCTCAGGATATCCCATCCTGTTAAGTCCTATGTATCTGTGATGTCGTACATTTAAGCATTAGTAAGGAAAAGACCCGGAGCATGAAAATAGCATATACTACAGTCTCACAAAGTCTGGATTTCAACTTAGTTCTTGAATCTAAATCCCCATAACTATGAAATGTGATTCTTTGGTCTTTGGGGAAGTTTTTGTTAAGTATGATGTTAATTGCTCTCAACTCGCATAATGCTGCTTAGTCACTCTATGCCATTACATCCTTTGCTGGCCCATATCCCCTTTTGAGAGTGTAAACCTAATGATGAACCAGAATACAAGAATTCAACAGCATTTTATTTTTTAGCTGCTCTGACAAGTCTAGACCAGTGCTTCTCACACTTTTCCACATAAACCTTCCTAAAAGCAGCAACATTCTTGCTGGGTCAATTGTTAGAGCATGTGACTCTTCATCTCAAGGTTGTAAGTTCAAGCCCCAAGTTGGGCCTAGAGCTTTAAAAAAAAACTTTTTATGGGGCATCTGGGTGGCTTAGTTGGTTAAGTGTCTGACTCCTGGTTTCAGCTACAGTCATGATCTCACAATTTGTGAGTTCAAGCCCCACATCCGCCTCAGTGCTGACAGTGTAGAGCTGCTTGGGATTCTCAGTTTCTGCCCCTGCCCTGCTTGCTCACACTCTAAATAAATAAACAAATAAAAAAATTGCTAATATGGGGCGCCTGGGTGGCTTAGTCGGTTAAGTGTCCAACTTTCGCTTAGGTCATGGTCTCGCGGTTCGTGGGTTCGAGCCCCGCGTCAGGCTCTGTGCTGACTGCCAGCTCACAGCCTGGAGCCTGTTTCAGATTCTGTGTCTCCCTCTCTCTCTGACCCTCCCCTGCTCACGCTGTCTCTCTCTCTCTCCTAGAAATAAATAAAACATTAAAAAAAAGAAATTGCTAATAAAAAATAAAAGCAGAGAGCAAAGAATAACCAGAGGTTCTGCGTACACTCATCCCCACCGCCCCAAAAAGGCTACTAGTAGTGCTGGCAGTTTTCTTTAAAGTCTCTTGTTAATTTAAAACGTGATATGGTCTGCGCTGCTTCCTCTGACTCCTATTCCAAATGAATGACATAGGTGCTTTAAGATAGGGGACCCTTAAACTGATTTTAGATAGATCCCTGTCAGCTTCCTGTTTACCCCAGGGTGAAAACGGTTTGTGAAGTGTGAGAGATCTGAGCTAGCCAAGATTAATGATTCTAAGTCTGCCTTTACTTTAGATATCCCATTGAATTCTTTACGTCATTTTGGAACCTTGTTCTGATTGGAAATCTACTACCTCAACCCCTTATTGACAACATTTAGATCTAAAGGCTCCCAGGATTTGGAATCTTTGTTGTATCAGTACATATAAAAATGATCATTATTTCTAGAATCTGATGGTAATTACATCAGTGATTCTTTTTGAGTAAGGTTGACTCAAATATTCTTTTTCTTACATTCAATCTTTAATAACAAAGCCATGTTGCTTGTTCTTTCATGATGTTCATTTCAAGACTGTCTTTGCTGTTTTGCTCAGTTGCCTATATTCCTTTGACTCATTGAAATAAAGATCATTTGGGAAGATAATGATATTCTTCATAAAGAACATAAACATTGTTTTGCAATATCAAATGGGTGCCATTTTTACTTTGGAAAAAGCAAACTGTTTTAATGTTTAGTTTTTTTACTTTTGAAAGAGCGTGAATGAGGGAGAGCACAGGGAGAGGGATGACAGGCTATGAGGCAGGCCTGGTGCTTACAGCAGCAAGTGTGATGCAGAGCTCAAATTCACGAACCATGAGATTGTGACCTGAGCTCAAGTCGGATGCTCAAATGACTGAGCCACTCAGGAGCCCCTGAAAAAACAATTTACTAGGGCGTTTTACATTTACATTACTCATTATACTATGGCATGTTTTTTACTTAAGATCATAAGTTGCATGAAATTACATATTAATTAATGTTTTATGTTTCCTCTAGGTTGTGCACCATCTCCAGGTGCTTATGATGTTACAACCTCAGAAGTATTGAAAGGACCGGTATCCTTTCAGAAATCACAAAGATTTAAAAAACAGAAAGGTAATGGATTCCCAAATAACATAATGGTTATATGATCTCATAAGTTTTAAAGTTATGAATAACAGTATTTAAATTAGAAGATGCCATGGTATTTCTAAAAATGCAAAGCTACAGTTATATTTAAATTTTCTTGTTTGATGAATTTACAAAAGAGTCAACTACAGAAAAATGCTTTGATCATTTCATTGTTGTATAACCAGCAAAGCTAAGCAAGACACTCACATAGATAAATATTTTCCCTTCTGGTAATCAGCTTAACCTTCTGTCAGGGAACATTAGGAAAATCAGAAAAGTATTAGATGTGTCAATACTATTGTGCAACTAATTACTTGGACATATACAGCCAGGGAAAAAATAACTCTATACTGCTTCACTTATAATAAGAAATTTAGAAATTGGATTATGTCTGTGTTTCAAACATGTAAGTACCAACTAAAATCTTTACAATATATTTTTATTGTAGAATCTCAACAAAATCTTAATGTTGACAAAGATGTTACCTTGCCTGCTTCAGCAAGAAAAGTTAAGACTTTGGGATTAAAGGTGAGGAACGCTGATATTCCAGCTGGTTTAGTACTTAAATCATGAAAACATTTCTGAAAGTTAGTTTATTTGACTAGAATGGGTTAAGTGTATAAATTAAGGTGGTAAATCTATAAACTAATAAAAAATATTAACATTAGGACGCTAGCAAGATTTATATTTCTGCCTACATCATTACTAAATATATTGTTTAAATGTATCTGGAGTTCAGAACTACAAAATGGTCTCCACTTTTCCGTCATTTCTCTATGTAGATAAATTAACACCTAGTAAACCTTTAAAAAGTAGGCAGTACTTTGATATATTAGGATCATCATTTGAGTTGTTTTAGTTTATTTGCTTACTTGTGCAGAAGGGTAAATCTTGGTGAAGAAAAAGGAAAAAACATTCTAATGCCTAAAAGATATTTATTTGCTACTCAAACACTGCCAAGGAGTGGTGGGAGACTAAATTCTTAACTTTGTGTTTTGGCTTATGCAACAGCCTATTTATTATTACTGTTTCCATTAGTTCATAAGGCAAGTTGTACTTTCTTAAAGATTTGCAAAGAGTGATTTGTGAAATATGGAAAAGATCCTGAGTTGGGAAACCAAAGCTTAGACTTGTTCATTTATTTAGTGATTATATAAGTTTCTTGTTTTATAATATAGGGCTTCATTATCCGGTATGGAAGTGATTAGCCACATGTGGCTATTGAGTACTTCAAAGTAAAAAGCTAAATTTTTAATACTATTGAATTTTAAGTAACATATAAAAACTGATACTTGATTCTACTGTTGGAAAACTTAAATGTTTTTGGAACAATTTTGGATGTGCATCTTCTTTTTCATCTGTACATTTTATGAAATCTAAATATAGATGGCTATTTCTGATGAAAGTTAAGCATCTGAATTGAGATATACTATAAGTGTAAAATACACAGCAAAGTTTGCAGACCTAGTACAAAACATATAAAATATCTTACTAATAATTTTGTGCTAATGACATGTTGAAATGATACTTTTTTACATTTAGGGTAAAGTAAAATATATTTTTAAAATTTTTACTTTTTGTTTAAAAAAATGTAATGTTTATTTATTTTTGAAAGAGACAGAGCTGAGCTGTCAGCACAGAGTCCGGCACGGGGCTTGAACTCATGAACCGTGAGATCATGACATGAGCCAAAGTCAGACGCTTAACTGACTGAGCCACCCAGGTGCCCCTAAAATTTTTACTTTTTAAATTAACTACTAAAAAAAGTACATATGTGGTTTGTGATCTATTTTATTGGGTAGCAGTAATATAGACAATCTTTTCTTACACAGTGATTTTTTTTTATTTTTTTAATATAACTTATTATTGTCAAATTGGTTTCCATACAACACCTAATGCTCATCCCAACAAGTGCCCTTGTCAATGTCCATCATCCATTTTCCCCTCTCCCCCAGCCCACATCAGCCCTCAGGTTGTTCTCTGTGTTTAAGAATCTCTTATGGTTTGCCTCCCTCCGTCTCTGTAACCTTATTTTCCCCTTCCCCTCCCCCATGGTCTTCTGTTAAGGTTCTGAAGATTTACATATCAGTGAGAACATAGGGTATCTGTCTTTCTCTGCCTGACTTATTTCACTTAGCATAAAAGCCTCCAGTTCTATCCACATTGCTGCAAACGGCCAGATTTCATTCTTTCTCATTGCTGAGTAGTATTCCATTATATAGATAAACCACATCTTCTTGATCCATTCAGTTGATGGACATTTAGGCTCTTTCCATGATTTGGGTATTATTGAAAGTACTGCTATGAACATTAGGGTACATTTGCCCCTATGCATCAGCACTCCTGTATCCCTTGGGTAAATTCCTAGCAGTGCTATTGCTGGGTCATAAGAGAGTTCTATTGTTAATTTTTTGAGGAGACTCCACACTTTTTTCCAGAGGGGCTGCATCAGTTTGCCTTCCCACCAACAGAGCAAGAGGGTTCCTGCTTCTCCACATCCTTGCCAGCATCTATAGTCTCCTGATTTGTTCATTTTAGCCACTCTGACCAGCGTGAGGTGGTATCTCAGTGTGGTTTTGATTTTTATTTCCCTGATGATGAGGGACACTGAGCATCGTTTCATGTGTCTGTTGGCCATGTGGATGTCTTCTTTGGAAAAATGTCTATTCTGCCCATTTCTTCACTGGATTATTTGTTTTTGGGTGTGGAGTTTGGTGAGTTCCTTATAGATTTTGGATGCTCGCCCTGTTTCTGATATGTCATTGATTGTTTCCTTTGCTGTGCAGAAGCTTTTTATCTTGATGAGCTCCCAATAGTTCATTTTTGCTTTTAATTCCCTTGTCTTTGGAGATGTGTCAAGTAAGAAATTGCTGCCGCTGAGGTCAAGGAGGTTGTTTCCTGCTTTCTCCTCTAGGGTTTTGATGGTTTCCTGTCTCACATTTAGGTCTTTCGTCCATTTTGAGTTTATTTTTGTTTATGGTGTAAGAAAGTGGTCTAGTTTCATTCTTCTGCAAGTTGCTGTCCAGTTCTCCCAGCACCATTTATTAAAGAGACTTTTTTCCATTGGATGCTCTTTCCTGCTTTGTCAAAGATTAGTTGACCATACACTTGTGAGTCCATTTCTGGGTTCTCTATTTTATTCCATTGGTCTGTGTGTCTGCTTTTGTCTTACACATTGATTTAAGTAAATACACACACACACACATACAATGGAATATTATTCCGCCATAAAAAAAAAATGAAATCTTCATATTTGCAATAACATAGATAGCTAGAGAAGATAACAATAAGCTGAGTAAGTCAGAGACAGACAGATACCTTATAATTTCATTCATACGTGGAATTTGAGAAACAAAAAAGAAAACGACCAAAGGGAAAAAAGACAATCCAAGAAACAGACTCTTAATTGTAGAGAACAAACTGATGGTTGCCAGAGGGGAAATGGTGGGGAGATGGGTGAAAGAGGTGATAGGAATAAGGATGCATGTGTTCTGATGAGCACCAGGTGATGTATGGAATTGTTGAATCACTATGTTGTACACCTGAAACTACTTGAATTAAAATTTTTTAATAAAATAATTTTTAAAAAGAAATTTCTTGATTTGAATTTCTTGAAGAAACAGTTCTGAAATTTTGAATTAATTATAGAACTCTTAGAAAACTAAATTACATACAAATTTGTGTAAAAGCCCTAAATAATAGGCCTTCCTTGATAGAAAATTCCATCAGGTGGGAAATTAATAAATATGAGACTGACATAGCTGTCCCCTCAACTTAGAAGTATATAAAACGGGTTGCGTTTGATATATTTATCCATTTTCTTCCATTTAACATAGAAAAGATAAATACTCAGTTTGGGGCCATTGTATCAGAAAAGCTGTTGGATATAAAAGAGCAAAAATTATGTGTCTTATTTAGAATGAAGGCATTAAGTACATTAAAACCAATTTATACTGGTGTGCTTGAGTGGCTCAGTCAGTTAAGCATCCAGTTCTCCGTTTTGGCTCAGGTTATGATCTCATGGTTTCATGAGTTCAAGTTTCGCTACGGGCTCTGCGCTGACAATGCAAATCCTGCTTGGGATTCTCTCACTTCTTCCTCTCTCTCTGCCCCTCCCTGGCTCGTGCTGTCTCTGTCTCTCTCAAAAATAAATCAACAGACTTAAAAAAATTTTTTAAATTAGATTACACCATTTTAATTTTTATTTGTGTGTGTGAGAGAGAGAGAGTGTGTATAAACATATATACATTTTTTGGTTCTTTGGGTATCAAAGTTTAAGTTGATTTTTCTTTATAAGATTGTTTTCTTTCTGGGATAGCATAATTAAGTATTTACGATGTATTGCTATTTAACATTAGAAAGAAAGCACTCTGTAGCTTTATTCATAAAGTTCTACTGTTCTTTTCCCTGAACTTATTAGGAAAAGCCTAATAATTTATTGGGGTGAAAACTTAAACCTGAAATATTATGAGATTCAAAGAACCTGTTCCTTCTTTTACCAGATCAGTCTATTACAAAGTGTTTAATAGACTCAGTGAAATGTTTAAAATAGAAATTAACTGTTTGGTAGGCAGCTTCCCTCTACTTGCAAGATGAGATGCTGCCTGATTCATGAATCACTTAATAAAGCCAATTAGATTCTCAAGAAAAAAAGAAAAGGGCACCTGGCTGGCCCAGTCAACAGAGTATGTGACTCTTAATCTTGGGATTATGAGTTTGAGCTCCACTTTGGGGACAGAGGTTACTTAAAGAAAGAGAGAAAGTAAGAATTCAAACTCTTTAATCTTTTCTTATAACTAAAAATCAAATTAGGCTGTGATATATGTGGCCCTTTAATTTATCTCTCTTCTTTGATTTTTAAATAGAAGGAGTCTCAAAAGAATGATAAAGACTTGAAGATACTAGAAAAAGAGGTAAGCAATGCTTTCAACTTAATTGAAAAATAAATGTACTGTAAAATACAAAGAGTGCCTTAGAGTTAAGAGACAGGTATTCTGTTGCAGTTTGGGGAATTGCATAGCGAGGCAGATAAACCATCCAGACCAGCGCCTGCCAGGTGACTGTTCCCTAGCTTCATTAGACATTATGTTTCAGAGCATGGCTGTCAGTGTGGTCTACTGACAGAGTCAAGTTTGTTAGCATTCTAAGGGGCAGATTCACCTCATGAAAACCCATTTCATGAAAAATTGATAACTAAAAATTAATATGTTGATTTATTGCAATTATGCATGTGTCAAATATTTACATTTACTCAATGCACATTCTACTTGTATGCTAATCTATATGTTAAGACAGTGACTAGCTAGAGAATTTCTTAGTGAGCATGAAATCCTAGCAGGTTAGTTGAATTGTGAAAGAGTTGTGCTAATCTGACACATCCTCTGCTCTGTAGGTATATATATGCCTTGTTGATGGAGAAAATAGAGCTGGAGGGTAAACCTGGAGCTATCCTGTCCAATATGGTAGCCACTTACCATTTGAGACTATTTAAATTAAGTAAGAGTAAGAACTCAATAGTTCATCTGCACTAGTCACATTTTAAATGCTCAGTAAGCACTGTAGTGAGTGGCTCCCTTCAAAACAGTACATTTCCACCATGCAGAAGTCTCTACTGAGCACCGCTGACCCAAAGAGCCCACTTACTTCCCTAAGCAGGAGTAAGATGATCACTGCCAGTTTTGCTTTTCTGGCAGTCTTTTTTCCATGTTTCCATTGCTGACCAACTCTTTTTCTAGTGCACATATTCTTTTGACATATTAAAACTTTGCAGTGATTACAGTTAAATGTTGGCTTAGGACCAAGGATATGTCAAGATAACTTTGCAAATCTCTGCCCAGGTTGCTCTGATTCTTTTAGTATTTATTTTAATTATATTGGCCATCATTTTATTGAGGATACATGCCTACAAGGTAGGGCTTAATACATAGAGAGGTGATAACTGAGTCTCAGAGAGAGAACTGGTGAGTGGCACTGCCAAGATCAGAACTAAAAATTTGCATCAGTTTCCTGATCTCTTAGACTAAAGCGGTTTTTGTTTTTTTTTTTTTAGGTTTATTTATTTATTTTTGAGAGGCAGAGTGAGAGAGAGAATCTGAAGCAGGCTCTGTGCTGCCAGCATAGAGCCTTACGTGGGGCTCAATCTTGAGACCATGAGATCGTGACCTGAGCCAAAATCAAGAGTCAGATGCTTAACTGACTGAGCCACCCAGGTGCCCCTAGAATAGGGATTTTTTTTTTTTTTGGACACATAGAGCTCTTTTTATTTAATCCCCACAGTTTTTGTTGTTTGTTTATTTAATTTGAGTTAATTACCAGTATTTAAAAGTAGCATTTCGTGTAAAACAAATTCAAATTTCTGGCTTATGTTGTAAAATTAGAAGATCTGTCAATAGTGTTTCCACATTCCACTACAGGGCAACAATAATGCTAGGGCTTTGCAGGGGTACCTCCTTTAAACTCCTCATTTGCTCTTCAGCCCTCACCTGGCTGTCTTTACTCATGTTATCTGCTTGGCCACATAGGCATTTGAGTGTACAAACCCTTTTTTTTGAAGCTTAATCTTCTTTAACTGCAAAAATGTGATAAAGATAATCTTGGTGTTCCTTTTTCTACTTTGTAATGTTATGCTATAAACGTTGGTTGTACACCAATAATGTAAGCATAGAGAATCTTCTGGTAGGGAACCTTAAAGCTCATTCAATTGCTAGCATCTAGTTCATAGCCATGTATGTACAAATGGTGTTTGATACATTTTTAGTTAAGCAGTTTTGGTTTAAAATACTGAGATTAGGGGTGCCTGGGTGGCTTAGTCGGTTAAGTGTCCGACTTTCGCTTAGGTCATGATCTCGCAGTTCATGGGTTCGAGCCCTGCGTCGGGCTCTGTGCTGACTGCCAGCTCAGAGCCTGGAGCCTGTTTCAGTCTGTGACTCCCTCTCTCTCTGGCCCTCCCCTGCTCACGCTGTGTCTCTCTCTCCTAGAAATAAATTTTAAAAAACATTTAAAAATAAATAAATAAATAAAATAAAATACTGAGATTAGTATCAACACAAAGCCAGTAAGAAAGAATAGGAAATACTTCATGTGACTTAATACAGCTCTGCTGTCTTGATGCTTTTATACCCAACAAATAATCTGTTTTGGTAAATGTTTTATGTGCACTAGGAAAGAATGTATACGTACTTGTTGGTATAGTTTATATAGGTCAGTTCAATATGTTTAAAAGTTTTGTTCAAGTCTTCATCTGTACTGATATTTTTGTCTGCTTATTCTATTAGCTTTCCCATTTCCAGCTTTGCAATTAAGTCCATTTCTCTTTTTACTTCTGTCACTTTTTGCTTTGTATATTTTGAAGTTATTAGGTGCACAACAAATTTAAGATTGTATCTTCCTCTTGAAATGACCTTTCCATTGTAAAATTCTTTATCACTAATAATACTTTCTGCCTTAAATGTTTACTTTCTATAATATTAGTATAGGTATCACAGCTTCTTTTGTTTAATATTTACATGGTAGATCTTTTCTGACCCCTTTATTATTAGTCTTTCTATGTCCTTATATTTAAAGTGCAAATCTTGTATCTTGCAAATCTTGCAAATCTCAGATCATTTTTGTTGAGCCTCAAACACTTCAGCACCTTTTTTCTGCATGCCATTGGCAAATCCTCTCGTAAAACATCGTCATGTCACCTTCAAATTAAAAGGGTATTTTCCATGGGAACAGAATTTTGGATTGGCACTTTTCCCCTTAATTTTAAACAAGTAATTTCATTGTCTTCTGACTTCTACATTTTCTGGTGTCAAGATATGTGGTTTTGATTTTGGTTTTGGTTTTGATCTCATAATTGCAACAAGAGTGGTGTCTTACTGATCATTCCTATTGCAGTGCTTACTACATCCTACCCAGAAGCCCTATTCTGCCTTCTTGAAATATAAAAGTTAGCATTTCAAACTGTAATTTGAGTTCATATAACTAGAACTAGAGAAAAGAAGAACTCTTAAGGTAGAAATACCTTAAAAGTGAATAGTTTAATTACACCTGAAAGCTTCCAATGATTAAAATCCTCTCTTCTTAAAATGTTTACAGACTTTAGGGGCGCCTGAGTGGCTCAGTCGGTTAAGCGTCTGACTTCGGCTCAAGTCACGATCTCACAGTTCGTGGGTTCGAGCCCCGCATCGGGCTCTGTGCTGATAGCTCGGAGCCTGGAGCCTGCTTCAAATTCTGTGTCTCCCTCTCTCTCTGCCCCTTCCCCTGCTCATGCTCTGTCTCTGTCTCAAAAAGAAATAAACATTAAATAAAATAAAATAAAATGTTTACAGACTTTTAAGTACTTAGAGATTTTTAAAACATAAAAATATGAATGTTCAAACAGCTAGTGAAATCAAAATATCCAACAGCATCATGTCACAAAGGTTTTTCTAGAACTTGAATGTTTTATTTTCAGTAGCATCTAGTTACATTGGTGTTGTATTGGTAAATCATTTATCATCTTGTTTCTGTCCAGATTCGTGTTCTTGTGCAGGAACGTGGTGCTCTGGATAAGCGGATCCAGGATCTGGAAGCTGAATTAGAGAAGACGGAGGCCAAGCTAAATGCTGCAGTCAGGGAGAAAACCTCTCTCTCTGCAAGTAATGCTTCACTAGAAAAACAGCTTATTGAATTAACCAGGACTAATGAGCTACTAAAATCAAAGGTATTTGAATCTCATGATAATATTTACAACTGAATAAGTTATAAACATGTTGCTTTTTTTTTTCTTATGTCTTGAGAATTTTAGGCTCTAGTTTAGCCTTTTTCCTTCACCAATGTACTGAAATATTAAGCTGCTTCCAAGAAGAATTATTATTGTCTGTTTTATTATGGTATCTGACACATAAGAAGTGATAAACAAGTTACTTTTTGTTTTAATGTCTGACGTTTTCTCACCCTCCTTCAAAGTCACTCCTCGTAAATAAGGCCATTAATAAACCTTGTAGAATTTATATCTAGAAATCACTCTATAGATCTTTCTCTGAAATAAATAATAGCATGACAACAGGCTTCCATTTCAAATCCTTTTGGGATTGAAGTGGGAAGTGAATATATTTGTGGATTAAATGTGTTTAATAGATAAATTCTATTTAATATTTTATTTAATATTAATATACTAACAGATCTTTAAGGATATAACTTGGTCATCTACTTTTGTCAGAAGTTAAAGGAGACTGTAAATCACTGTTCAGTTTAATAGTAGTCATTTATTCAGAGCCTGTAATGTGCTGAGCTCTTTGACTAAGGATGCATAAGAAATCAAACTTGGGGAAGAAAGCAGATTCCTGGGCCCCATCCTGGGAGATTCTGATTTAATAGGCCTGGGATGGACTGTATAGTCTATGTATTTTAAAAATAGGCTGGGCAATTTAAATGCATTTTGTTAAGCAAGCACATTTTATAAAATCTTCTCTGAGAAGCTTGTTTTAGAGGCTTGCAGTGGACAGCATGTAGAGGTAGGTAACTACCCAAGCAGGTTTAAAATGTAAGCAGGAAGGGGCACTTGGCAGGTTAAGTTGGTGGTGCTTGCAACTCTTAATATCAAGGTTATGAGTTCGAGCCCCACAGTGTGTGTGTGTGTGTGTGTGTGTAGAGATTACTTAAAAATAAAATTGTTAGCTGTGTGTGTGTGTAGAGATTACTTAAAAATAAAATCATTAGCTGGGGCGCCTCAGTGGCTCATTTGGTTAAGCATCTGACTTTGGCTCAGGTAATGATCTCACAGTTAGTGAATTCGATTCTTGCATCAGGCTATGTGCTGACAGCTCACAGCCTGGAGCCTACTTTGCATTCTGTGTATCTGTCTCTCTCTGCCTCTCCCCCAGTCATGCTATCTTTCTGTCAAAAATAAATAAATATTTTTTAAAATTTGTTTTTAATAGAATCTTTAGAAAAAGTAATATAAAAATAAATATTAAAAAATTGTTTTAAATAAAATAGAATCTTTAGAAAAAGTAATATAAAAATAAATATAAAAAATGTTCTAAATAAAATAGAATCTTTAGGAAAAGTAAAATAAAAATAATTAATTTAAAAAATTAAAATAAACCGGAAAGTCATATTAATCAAAAAAAGGAACAAAAACAGTAGTAATATAGAACAAAATCAGTAATCCTGATGTGATCAAAGGCATTTTCTCTGCCAGAATATGTTGTAGGTAAATTATAGTCCTAATAATAGAATAATCAATATTTATGTGATTCTATGTAGGATCTAGTAGAATATATTTCTAAATATTTTTATTATATGTTCCTTGTACTTAGTTTTCTGAAGATGGTAACCAGAAGACTATGAGAATTCTAAGCCTTGAATTAATGAAACTTAGAAACAAGAGAGAAACAAAGATAAGGGTGAGTGTTACTTTTGATGAGTTTGCTATGTCTGGATCTGGAGATCTGAGTTATTTCTCCTTTCCTAACACCTGTTTTTGTGGTGTAGGGTATGATGGCTAAACAGGAAGGCATGGAGGTGAAGCTGCAGGTCACTCAGAAGAATCTTGAGGAGTCTCAGGAGAAAATAGCACAACTGGAGGGAAAACTGTGAGTGCCTAAAAAGAAAGAGAAATTGTTAACTGTAACTAATTCTTGACTGACCTCTCTCACCTCTCTCTTGTTTACTGAGACTTAAACTTCCTTCATACTTCTCTCATTCTCTCCCTGCTTGCCTTATTTCTCTTCTTCAGCTGAGCCCTGATCATTCCCATTTAACGCTGAAAAGATGTATAAATATATTACTTGTGTCCATCTTTTGTATAAATGATGAGGAAAGGCCTCCTCATTTTTGTAGTGGCATCGTCTTATGGAGGTGGTAGACCAAAACTGAGGAATATTGGTATAAGAAAGCTGTGATTAATATACAATCCTAGCTTTCTTTTTGTGACTGAGCTGTAAGTTACCTACAAAAAATATATAGATCATAAGTATTCAGTTTGATGACTTTTGACAGTTGTGTACACCTCTAATCACCCTACAAACAAGATAGAGAACATTACCATCCTCTCAGAAAATTCCTTTCTGCCCCTTCCTGCTCCCCTGCCCTTCCCTATTATGAGGACCCCAACCTGTGAAGCTACTTTGTGACTTTCATCATCATAAATTAGTTTGGCCTTTGGGGGAGATGTTTATCACAGTGTGTGTGTGTGTGTGTGTGTGTCCTCTTTTGTTTAACATAGTATTTTAAGATTCCTCTATACTCTATTTTTGAGTAGTATTCCACTGTCTGAATATACCTCCATTTATTTACTGTTCCTCCATTGGTCATTATTTGGGTTTCCAGTTTTCTGACTGTTTTGAATAAGACTGCTATGTATGTCTTTTTGTGGTTGTAAGTTTTTATTTCTCCTGAATGAACATCTAGGATTGGAATATGTGGGCCATAGGGATAGTGTAGTATATGTGTAAATTGTTAAAAACAAAACAAAACAAAAACTCCGAAGTGGTTGGATGAACCATTTTATAGTCCCACTTAGCATTGTGTGGTAAGTGCGACCATTCCACATCTCCAAGGTTTGATATTGTAAGTCTGTTTGATTTAGGCCTTTTAGTAGGTAGGGAATGGTATCTCATTTATAATTTTGTTGTCTAAGGGCCAAGCTTCACTTTGAGTGCTCACTGACCATTCATATATATCCTTTTGTAAGGTGTCTATTTAACTTTCTTGCTCAGTTTTTAAATTGAGTGGTTTGGAGGAGGTAAACACGTTAAGTAATTGCATAGAAAGCAACCTGGAACAAAGGCTTTATAGCACACAAAATGCTATTTTATATGTGCGATGGGTAGGGAAACCAGGAATGCTACACGAAAGACCATTTCTAACACTTGGGAGTGTTATAGGTGATAATTTTCATCATCATAGCCCTTTTATCAGAATTTATTTGGAAAGCATTCTCCACTGTTAAAAAAAAAAAAAAAAACCTTCAGTTTCTTATTTGCATATACTAAATTGTCAACTTGAGAATTTACAGAAAATAAGAATTAAAAATTTAGAATCTAGAGATAGCCTATCTGATATAGCAGTATCTGGTACAGAATAAGCATTATGTGTGATTACTCTGTGTATTCATATATGCAATTCTTTTCAGTGTTTCAATAGAGAAGGACAAGATTGATGAAAAATCTGAAACAGAAAAACTCTTAGAATACATCGAAGAAATTAGGTAATATGAATAGTAGTTTTTTTTTTAAATATAGCTTATTGTCAAGTTGGTTTCTATACAACACCTAGTTCTCATCCCAACAAGTGTCTCCTCCATGCCCATCACCCCCTTTCCCTTCTCCCCCACCCCTCATCAACCCTCAGTTTGTTCTCACTATTTAAGAGTCTTTTATGGTTTACCTCCCTCCCTCTCCTTAACTATTTTTCCCCTTCTCCTCCCCCATGGTCCTCTGTTAAGTTTATCCTGTTCCACATGTGAGTGAAAACATATGGTATCTGTCCTTCTTTGCCTGACTTATTTCACTTAGCATAACACCCTTGAGTTCTATCCGTGTTGCTACACATGGCCAGATTTCATTCTTCTCTCATTGCCATGCAGTATTCCATTGTATAGATAAACCACATCTTTTTGATCTGTTTGTCAGTTGATGGACATTTAGGCTCTTTTCATGATTTGGGTATTGTTGAGAGTGCTGCTATGAACATTGGGGTACATATGCCCCTATGCATCAGCACTCCTGTATCGCTTGGGTGAATTCCTAGCAGTGCTATTGCTGGGTCATAGGGGAATTGTTAATTGTTAACCTTTTGAGGATTCTCCACACTGTTGAATAGTAGTTTTAAATTGGACCTTATTTTGTTAAGTGGTGATCAATATACTATTTTCATCCTTTAAGGGTTAATTTTCCCTATGCCTAAATCATGTGCTATTCAAAATAATCTGTTTTACTGCAGTTGTGCATCAGATCAAGTAGAAAAATACAAGCTAGATGTTGCCCAGTTAGAAGAAAATTTGAAAGAGAAGAATCATGAAGTTTTCAGCCTTAAGCAATCGCTTGAGGAAAATGTTGCTATACTTTCTAAACAAGTTGAAGACCTGAACACTAAGTGTCGGCTGCTTGAAAAAGAAAAAGGTATTTAAATGAGTAGCATGTATAGTATGTAAGGACTGTACTGCTATATTAAAACAAGTTTTTTTTTAATTTATTGTCAAGTTAGCTAACATACAGTGTAGTCTTGGCTTCAGGAGTAGATTCCTATGATTCATCACTTAAATACAGCACCCAGTGTTCATCTCAACAAGTGCCTTCCTTAATGCCCATCACCCACCTCCCCTACCCCTCTACCCTCCACTCCAACAACCCTCATTTTATTCTCTGTATTTAAGAGGGTTTTTTTTTAATTACGTAAAAAACATTAAAATCCTATTCTCCATATGAGAATTTTTGTCTTTTATAATGCTAGTTTTCTGTCTATTTCAATATATTGCTTGTGTTAATTGAAATGTATACAGTGGTGCAGTTCTTGACTTCCCCATTGGGTGGCCATTTAAAATGAGAAGATATGTGGGGCGCCTGGGTGGCTTAGTCGGTTAAGAGTCCGACTTTCGCTTGGGTCATGGTCTCACGGTTCGTGGGTTCGAGCCCTGCGTCGGGCTCTGTGCTGACTGCCAGCTCAGAGCCTGGAGCTTGTTTCAGTCTGTGACTCCCTCTCTCTCTGACCCTCCCCTGCTTACGCTGTCTCTCTCTCTCTCCTAGAAATAAATAAAACATTAAAAAAAAAAAATTTTTTTTTAAATAAAAAAAAAAATGAGAAGATATGTATTGAGCTAGATGTGGAAGTTTTATTACATACCATAGAATATGCACTTCATTTTATATAGTAAATGATACAAACTACAGAATTAATGTTTTGGCTTTATTTGGAAATACTAGATCTGTATGTCATGCTAATAGCAAAAAATGGGTATATGGAAATCCAGTTTCTTAAAGTTAGTATCTAAATATAGCATTTTTCACTTTTATAGAAGACCTCATCAACAGGAGTAGAAAACAAGATGAAATTCTGAATTCTGAAGTGCAGAACTTAAAGGAGGAACTTATTCTTGAAAAGGAAGAACATGAAAAGTTACGACAAAAAGAATTGCAAATTGATTCACTTCTGCAACAAGAGAAGGTAATATACTCCAATTAAAAAATAAAAACTTTTGCTTGTCATGTCATACATTTCCCCATGTATCAGAAAACCTTTAAATATCATGTATGTCCTTCCATCCAATAATTCTATTTTTAAAATCTTATCTTGAGGAAACAGTCATGTATATGCTATTTAGCCACACAGATGTTCATCACATTATTGATGAGATGAAAAAATTATAAGAAACTAATAAACCAAAATAATAAAATTGTTTAAAAATATTTTCTGGCACATTCTTGTGTTAGATTACTACTTAGGCATTTACAGTTATGTTGTAAAATAGTGTCTAAATGCATGTGAAACAAAATTGACAAATTTTTAAAATCTAGATTACATAAAAAATATTTTATGTGAGAAAAAAGTTTACTAAAAAAATGAGCATAGGATGGAAACTTATAATTCTCAGAAGTAGAAATGCAGATAATATGTAAACACGAATACTCTACCTTACTAATAATCAAAGAAATGGAAATATTTTTTTTCCCTTACAAGAATGGCACAAATTAAAGCATTTGATAATAGGGGCACCTAGGTGGCTCAGTCGATTAAGCGTCTGATTTCACGGGTGGTGAGATCAGACTCTGTGACGAAAGCATGGAGCCTGCTTGGGATTCTCTCTCTCCCTTGCTCTCTACCTCTCCCCCACTCATGTGTACTTGCGTACACAGGCACACACCTTTGCTTTCTATCTCAAAATAAACATTTAAAATATGTGATAAAATATAGAACACATTAGTGAGAGTGGAGCAATCAAGTAAATGCACTGATGTGAAATATTACGTTGGGCAGCCTGCAACAACTGAAGGAATTAAATAGATCTATATATACTGACTTGAAGATCTCAACTATTTTTAGGATTTTTTAAATGTCCTTTATGTAAATAGTATATATTATTTATATTATATATTTTTTAGGTATATAAATGTGTAAAAAAGACCAGAAGGCATACATATGAAAACTAATGGTTATCTCTACAATGAGGAAACTAAGATTGGGGTGGGTTGTACTTAGAGACATTTTTCACTTTATTTGGGTACTTTTTGTTTTTCGTTATTTTTTGCCCCATCCAGTCCCACAATTACAGTTACTGTTGGCAGACCTTTCAAATGTTTTTTTTTGTATCTTAATATTTAAGAGATGTGTCTCCTAAATGCATTATTAGGAATGTAAATGATGGAGAGAATGCTTATTTACCATGACCATTCTTTTAAAAAAAATTTTAATGCTTATTTATTTTTGAGAGAGAGAGAGGCAGAGTGCTAGCAGGGGAAGGGCAAAGAGAGGGAGACACAGAATCCGAAGCAGGGTCCAGCACAGAGCCCAACACAGGGCTCAAACTCACAAACCACGAAGTCATGACCTCAACCAGTCAGATTCTTAATGGACTGAGCCACCCAGGAGCCTCATACATTGACCATTCTTTTTAAAGTCCCTGTTTTCTTTCATAGAATGTTCTGAGCACATCTACATCACATTTTCGTTTTGGTTTTGGTTTTTGATTGAGGTATAACTGACATACGACATTATATAAGTTTCAGGTATATAACATAATAATTCAACCTTTGTATAAATTGCAAACTTTTTACCACGATAAATCTAGTTAGCATCTATCACCATATAGAATTATAAAATTTTTTTCTTCTGAGGAGAGTATTTAAGACTGTCTTAGCAACTTCCACAGTACAATACAGTATTGTTAACTATAGTCACCATGCTGTAAATACATTACAGTCCATGGCTGAAGTATTTTATAACTGGAAGTTTATACCTTTTGACTTTTTCACCCATTTTACCCACAACCACTTCTGGCAACCACCAGTCTGTTCTCTATGGTTGGGTTTTTTGTTTGTTTCCAGATTTCACATGTAAATCATATAATATTGATCTTTCTTTGTCTGATTTGTTCCACTTATTATAATGCCCTCAGAGTCCATCCATAGCATCACAGATAACAAGATTTCCTTTTTTGTGGCTGAATATTATTCAATTTGTGTAAATATATACCATGTTTTCTTTATTCATCCATCCATCAGTAGACATTTAAGTTTCTTCAATATCTTGGCTATTGTAAATAATGCTTTATGAACATTGGGTGCATATATCTTTTCAAGTTTTTATTTTCATTTTCTTCAGATAAGTACTTAAAAGTGGAATTACTGGATTGTATGGCAGTACTGTATTTAATTTTTTGAGGAACATTCATGCTCTTTTCCATAGTGACTGCACCAATTGACATTCCCACCAACAGTGCACAACCATTCACTTTTCTCCACATCCTTGCCAACACTTACTGTTTCTTGTCTTTTTTTTTTCCAAGTAATCTCTGTGGGGCTCAAACTCATGACCCCAGATCAAGAGTCACATGCTCCACTAACTGAACCAGCCACACACCCCTATTTCTTGTCTTTTTAATAATAGCCATTCTGGTATGAGGTGAATCTCCTTATGGTTTTGAATTGCATTTCCCTGTTGATTAGAGATGTTGAGCATCTTTTCATGTACCTGTTGGCCATCTGGATGTTTGGAGAAATGCCCGTTTACATCCACTACCCAGTTTTTAATCACAGTTGGGTTTTTTGCTTTTGAATTGTAAGAGCTCTTTATATATTTTGGTTATAAGCCCTATCTGTCCTATCTGATATATGATTTACAAATATTTTGTCCCATGTAAGTAAGCTACATTTTCATTTTCTTGATGGATTCTTTTCCTGTGCAGAAGCTTTTTTTAAAAATGTTTTTAAAGTTTATATAAATATTTTTTTTAATGTTTACTTTTGAGAGAGAGAGAGATTAGGGTGCGAGTGCAGGAGGGGCAGAGAGAGAGAGAGGCAGACCCAGAATCTGAAGCAGGCTCCAGGGTCTGAGCTGTCAGCACAGAGCCCGATGCGGGGCTGGAACCCATGAACCACAAGATCTGACCTGAGCCAAAGTTGGAAGCCTAACTGACTGAGCCACCCAGATGTCCCAGCATTTATATATTTTTGAGAGAGAGAGTGAACAGGAGAGGGGCAGAAAGAGAAGAGGGAGAGACACAGAATCCAAAGTAGACTCCAGGCTCTGAGGCGTCAGTACAGAGCCCGACGTGGGGCTCGAACTCACGAGCCATAAGATCATGACCTGAGCAGAAGTCGGATGCTTAACCGACTGAACCACCCAGGTGTCCCCAGAAACTTTTTAGTTTGATGTAGTCCCACTTGTTTATTTTTGCCTTTGTTTCCTTTGCTTTGGTGTTCTATCCAAAAGATCACCAAGATCAATGTCAAGAATCTTACTGCCTTTGTTTTCTTCTAGGAGTTTTATGGTTTCAGGTCTTACATTCAAGTCTTTAATACATTTTTACTTAATTTTTGTGAAAAGTATAAGGTAGTAATCCACTTTCATTCTTTTGCTTGTGGTTTTCCAGTTTTCCCAGTACCATTTATTGAAGAAACCGTTTATTTTTCACTCCTTTATCATAAATTAATTGGCTGTATATGTTTCTTGTTTCTAGGCTCTATTCTGTTCTGTTGATCAATGTGTCCGTTAATATGCCAACATCATACTATTTTGAGTGACATAGTTTGAAATCAAGGAGCATGATACCTCCAACTTTGTTCTTCTTTCTCAAGATCACTTTGGCTATTCAGGGTCTTTTGTGTTTCCATATGAATTTTATTTTATTCCATTGTTCTTTCTGTGAAAATTCTCATTTTGATAGGGATTGCAATGAATGTATAGATTGCTGTGTTTGGATGGATATTTTAACAATATTAGTTTTTTCAATCCATGGGCACAGAATCTCTGTTTGTGTCTTCTTCAATTATTTTAATGTTAGAACTTTTTCCCAGTATTGATATATTTGTGTATTATGTAACTTTATGTTTTTAACGTTTATTTATTTTGAGAGAGCGAGAGTAGGGGAAGGGCAGAGAGAGAGAGAGAATCCCAAGAAGGCTCTGTGCTGACAGCACACCACCACTGTGGGGCTTGAACTCACTAACCATGAGGTCATGACCGGAGCTGAACTTGAGAGTCAGAACATTTAACAGACTGAACCACCCAGGTGCCCCTGTATATTACATAACTTTAAAATATATTTATATACTGTCGAAATCATAGTACGCTTTTTCTATGTTCTCATCTGAGAAAAATATATGCTATAAGTCCATTTTAGAATATAATTTTAGTTTTATAAGAAGTGTGTCAGTGTATGTTGCATAGAAAAAAGACGGAAATAACATTTACCACATTGCTAACAAAATGCAGGATATAATCCATGACAACATCCAGGTGATATCCATATTTTCAAGGATATTTTTTGAGGCTCTTGAATTTAGTGTTTATACTTTATTTTCTGTACTTCTTTTTTTTCTCCTTAGTAAAAACCTCTTGATGCCATTTCATATTATTCTGGTGGTTTTCTATTTGGATGTAGGAATTGTCCTCCAGTCTTCAACAGAAGCTAGGTTCTTTTCAAGAGGAAATGATGAAAGAGAGAAATCTCTTTGAGGAAGAATTAAAGCAAACACTGGAAGAGCTAGATAAATTACAGCAAAAAGAAGAACAAGCTGAGAGACTGGTCACACAACTGGAAGAGGAAACAAAATCTAGAGCTGAAGAACTGAAACTCCTAGAAGAAAAGCTGAAAGGGTTGGTATCAATAAGACCTCATACATAACATGACTTCTGATGTTAAAATGTGCTTTCCAGTACATTCTCTGAGCATTCTCACTTCAGTCATGTGAGTAAGTGAGGCTGGAATTATTTTACAAATAAGGAATAGACTCAGAGCGGTAAAGTATACCCATAGAAGGGCACCTGGGTGACTCAGTTGCTTAAGCATCTGACTCTTGATTTTGGCTCAGGTCATGATCTCATGGTTTGTGAGATTGAGCCTGGCATTGGCTCTGTCCATGCAGAGTCTTTTTGAAATTCTCTCTGCCCCTCCACCCCCACCTCTCTGAATATAAATAATAAATTTTTATTATTTATTTATTATTTATTATAAATAAATAAAATTCAAAAAAAATAAGTATACCCATAGGATGTGCATACAAACAAGTATTACAGCAAAAACTAGAAGCTATACTATTTTTTCTTAATGTTTTTTTTTTTAATTTTTTTTTTAATGTTTTATTTATTTCTAGGAGAGAGAGAGAGAGAGACAGCGTGAGCAGGGGAGGGTCAGAGAGAGAGGGAGTTACAGACTATGAAATAGGCTCTAGGCTCTGAGCTGGCAGTCAGCATAGAGCCCAATGCCGGGCTCGAACCCACGAACCGCGAGATCATGACCTAAGCGAAAGTCGGATGCTTAACCAACTAAGCCACCCTGGCACCCCAATGTTTGTTTATTTTTGTGAGAGAGAAAGGAAGGGCATGAGTGAGGAAGCAGCAGAGAGAGAGGAAAACAGAATCCGAAGCAGGCTCCAGGCTCTGAGCTGTCAGCACAGAGCCTAATGTAGGGCTCGAACTCACAAACCTTGAGATCATGACCTGAGCTGAAGTCAGATGCTTATCCGACTGAGCCACCCAGGCACCCCTGCCCTTTCTTTTTTATAATGCAAGAGGTTTAATTTAAAAGGCTTTTATTAAACAAACCCAAAGTTTGGGGTTCCTTTACTGCTCTTATGTTGTCTAAAATTATTGGACATATGCATTGTAGCAATAACAGATTTAGAAATAAAGCTAGGAATCCCATCTTTTAGTAAGAAACACTTCCACTTTTTCCCTATGTGTACATCAGTTCACATAGCATAAGTTATACCTTTAATTATCTTTCATGAGGGAGCACAAATACTCAGAAGTAGCAATGAAAACAAAATGAGAAAAAAAAACAACCGAACCTGGGCAACATTCAAAAATAAGAACTTTAAGAGATCTTGGGCTTTTCTTTTTTCTTTCTTTTTTTCTTTTTTAAAGTAAGCTCTACACTCAACGTGGGACTTGAACTCACCACCCCAAGATCAAGAGTCACATGCTCTACTGACTGAGTCAGCCATGCACCCCTCCAGCTTTTCTTTTAATGCTATTTCCATATTATTTTCATCACATTATGCATATTCTCCACTACATTTATTTAGATTAAAATATCCAAGTGGATGGGCATCTGGGTGGCTCAGTCGATTAAGCATCCAACTTCAGCTCAGGTCACGATCTTCCAGTTTGTGGGTTTGAGCCCCGTATGGGACTCTGTGCTGACAGTTCAGAGCCTTGAGCCTGCTTCAGATCCTGTGTCGCCATCTGTCTCTGTCCCTCTACCGCTTATGTCTGTGTCTCTCTAAAAAAATAATAAACATTTAAAATTTTTTTCCTTTTAAATATCCTAGTGGATTCTTGAGTTCAAATTGTATCTAAAATAATTACGTTATTTGACTCCTTAAGATTTCATCCCTCGGGGCACCTGGGTGGCTCAGTTGATTAACCAACCGACTTCTGCTTGGGTCATGATCTCGCGGTTCATAGGTTCGAGCCCCACATCAGGTTCTGTGCTGGCAGCTCAGAGCCTGGAGCCTGTTTCAGATTCTCTATCTCCCTCTCTCTCTGCCCCTCCCCGCTCATGCTCTGTCTCTCTCTGTCTCAAAAATAAATAAACTATATAAAAAATTTCTTTTAAAAAAAAGATTTCATCCCTAAAGATAACTTGTAGCAAGGAAACAAGAACTGTACATGAGTCTACAGGATTGTAGTATATCTCACAGCTGTGTATCTGTCTCCCGTTGGATACTTTTGTTAAAATCTTTTTTTAGTTTTCTTGTGGTGATAAGTGATAGAAAGGATGCAAAGGTTTTATATATGCCTGAGCAGTACCAAAGTATTCTTAGGGAATTGTTCTATACTGGAGCCAGTCTCAAGGAACAGGCACTTTAAGAAACTGAGCAGATGATACCAGTTTCAGGGAGGAAAGAAAGTTGAGATAATCATTTATTCAACTCAAGGAATTCAGTGCAGAGGTCAGGAGATAAGGATTTTATTGCTGTCTCTGTTAATTAGCTATGTGATTTTAAGCAAGACAATTCTAATTTCTTTAATATTCTTTCATCAGATATAAAATAAACAGGTTTTAATAACATAATCTGTAAGGTCCCTTCCAGACTGAAATCTTGTCATAAGAGAAAAACTAAAAAAATTGAAAATGATTTCTCTTGGGGCAGGGAAGAGAATATTTTTATTATAAATCCTTTAGTACTGTGTGATTACTTTTAGCTGTTGGTGTGTGGTTTTTTTTAATTTTTTTTTTAATGTTTTATTTATTTCTGAGAAAGAGACAGGCAGCGTGAGCAGGGGAGGGTCAGAGAGAGAGGGAGACACAGAATCGGAAGCAGGCTACAGGCTCTGAGCTAGCTGTCAGCACAGAGCCCAACACGGGGCTCGAACCCACAAACCGTGAGATCATGACCTGAGCCAAAGCTGGACACTTAACCGACTGAGCTGCCTAGGCGCCCTTGGTGTATGTATTTTTTTAATCCCATACTCATTACAGAAGGAATTTTATTAGCTCCATTTATTTTATCTGTGTCTCACTTAGCCTTTAAGCGAATAAAGCTTCTTATTTATAGTCCTTAGTTCTATATGTTCTTTAAAAGGTCTCTTATAAGCTCATGTCCTTGTCTAAAAAATGTTATCACTATTTTGATAATATATAATTTAATATTTCAAAAACTTTGAGGTTTGTAATATATAGGAATAAAGATGACTTAAAAGATAAATTGTTTATGAAAATACCAAGGAATTTATTGAATCTTTAAAAATAATAACAAATATGTGGATTACTGAAATAATCAAAATAAATTTACTTAGCTCTAAGGGAACCTGGGTGGCTCAGTTACTTAAAAGTCCAACTTCAGGGGCGCCTGAGTGGCTTAGTCGGTTAAGCGTCCGACTTTCGCTTAGGTCATGATCTCGCGGTTCGTGGGTTTGAGCCCCGCGTCGGGCCCTGTGCTGACTGCCAGCTCAGGGCCTGGAGCCTGTTTCAGTCTGTGACTCCCTCTCTCTCTGACCCTCCCTTGCTCACACTGTCTCACTCTCTCTCTCCTAGAAATAAATAAAACATTAAAAAAATATTTAAAAAAAAAAACAAAAAAAACCACTTAGTGTTTCTTAAATGCAGAGACACTTTATTCAATCAACCAGCTTTTTAACTGGTAATTTTTCACATTCTTTTTCCTTGGCTGCTGCCTTAAGAGTGTTTTAGAGTCTTTTTACTTTCTTGTTTAAAAAAATGCTTACACTACATACATAAGTGCATATAGTATCAAAAGATAAATTCAGAAATGAGTAAATTAGGATGAAAATGAAAGTATAATAAGCATGCTGTTAGAAGCAGGTCATGAAGTTAGATCTGAGGTGTCCAGTAGTTTACGCAAAGATAAAGACATTGGACACATGATCACAGTTCAAAGGTAAATACTAACCTCTTTCTTAGAATGATGATTTGTAATTAGCCTTTCATCTTTTAATTTTTCTTTAGGAAAGAAGCTGAACTAGAGAAAAGTAATGCTGCTCACGCTCAAGCCACCCTGCTTTTACAGGAAACGTATCAGAGTACAGTGCAAAACCTTGGAGATGTTACTGCTCAATTTGAAAGGTATTTTTATTGGGAGCCTACACTCTCAAATATAATATGAGTGGGGAAAGGTGCTTATCTAGCAATATCTGAAAGAGCAATCACACAAATAGATGGTTGGTTTTACTGTAGATTCCTTAATGACCAACCATAAATGGGCATTTAGGGTTACCTGGTAATCCTATGATTAGAAATTCCTTTTCCTGCCATCCGCTTCAAATTTCATGAACTCTCAAACCTTCGGGCACTTCTGTCTTATCTCCTGACACCATTGTTTTCCTCATGAAGAATTCTAAAGCTTTTGTCTCATTACCTTGCCTGTAAACACACCTGCATTTATGCTCATCCTGTCTTCCCACCTGTTAAAGGAGAAGTGACATCATATTCCACTTATCCTTTATAGCCTTTACTGGATTTTTTCCTATCTGTATTAAAACATGTTCATGTTCATTTATCTTTGTTTTTTGTTTCGGTTTTTTTTTTATTTCTGAGAGACAGAGAGAAAGACAGCATGAGCAGAGGAGGGGCAGGGAGAGAGGGAGACACAGAATCCGAAACAGACTCCAGGCTCTGGGCTATCTGTCAGCACAGAGCCTGACGCGGGGCTCAAACCCACAAATTGTGAGATCATGACCTGAGCTGAAGTCGGACGCTTAACCGACTGAGCCACTCAGGCGCCCCTGTTCATATATCTTTGAAATACATAAATCCTAGGGTTGCCTGGGTGGCTCAGTCATTTAAGCATCTGACACAGTTTTGGCCCAGGTCATGATCTCATGGTCTTGAGATTGAGCCCCATGTGGGACTCCGTGCTTTGTGCAGAGCACAGAACCTGCTTGGAGTTGTCTCCCCACTTCTCCCTCTGCACCCCCTCACTTGCATGCACATGTGCATGCACACTTTATCTCTCTCTCTCTCAAAATATACACATAAATTTACAAAAAAAAAACTTAAAAAAATAATAAAGTAAAATAAAATATATAAATTTTATTCACTCCTTTGACAACCCCCCCACTTCCTTCTGCAGCTATCCAGCAACACCTCTCACTCCCAACCCCCTTTTTTAATCCAAAATTCTACTCATCTTTATAGCTCATCTAAATAGAAGAGTCTCTACACCCATTGTATCCACATCCTCACTTCCTATCCCATCCACTTATTATTTTCCCTTTAAAAAAAAGTTTATTTGTGGGGGAACTATAAATTGCAGAGGATAGTTTAAGAAATGTGTATGCATCTTGCACCAAGAGCATATTAATATGAACATTTTTGTTTACTACTTTAGATTGTTTCAAGAGGAGGTCTCTTTCTTGTATCTGTTTTAGTATATTTAATAAATATGAAAGATAAACATTTACATAAATTATAAAGCATAAAGATAAAATCAACAAGTATGAGACCATAAAAGACAAGCCAACCCGTAAGCCAAAAGATTCAACAACTTGGTATCTCTATAAGGGAGTCCCTTCACCATCTGCATGCATTCCACTAACAGATCACACCATCTCAGAGCCTCCATTTATAATTGCCTCGCTTTTTTTCTGTGTATAGTTTTATAACATGTATATCCATACAAATAATATTTTATGTAACCCTGCTTTTTTGTTGAACTTGAACTTGGCCAAAAAATGACATCATGGTGTACGTAATTTCCTGAGACTTGTCTTTTTTAATCTGCAATATGTATGTTTCTAGAATTGAATCATATTGTTGACTGAGGTTATAGTTTGTTCGGAGTAGCTGCTGTAGAATATTCGATTTTATTAGTACACCACAACTTACCCATTCTCAATTTGGACTTCCAGGTTGTTTTCTTTTTTTGTTGTTTGTTTCATCATAAGTGCAAGCCCCATCCTCTACTTCCCCCATACACCTTCACCAACTTAACCCTCTGGTAACCATCAGCTTGTTCTCTATAATTAAGAGTCTGTTTCTTAGTTTATCTCATTTATTTCTCTATTTTTTTGGGCTTGTTTGTTTCTTAAATTCCACATGTGTGATTATAAAGTACTTGTCTTTTTCTGACTTATTGAACTTAGCATTATACTCTCTAGTTCTATCCATGTTGTTGGAAATAGCAAGATATCATTCTTTTTTTCTGGCTGAGTAATATTCCTGAGTGTGTGTGTGTGTGTCTAGATATATATACACCGCATCTTCTGTATTCATTCATGTGTAGATACTTGTCATTTCTTGTGTTATTTTGATGTTAGCCATTCTGACAAGTGTAAGGTGATATCTCACTGTAGTTTTGATTTGCATTTCTCTGATGGTGAGTGATGTTGAGCATGTATTTGTTGGCCATGTGGATATCTTGTTTGGGGAAATGTCTGTTCATGTTTTCTGCTCATTTTTTAAATTGGACTATTTGGTTTTTGGATATTGAGTTGTATCAATCCTATATATATATTTCAGATACTAACCCTTCCTCAGATATGTACTTTGTAAATATCATCTACTATTCAGTAGTTTGCCTTTTAGTTTTGTTGACTGGTGCCTTCACTTGAAGTGCCAAAACTTTTTATTCTGATATAGTCCCAATCATTTATTTTTGCTTTTATTTCCCTTGCCTCAGGAGACACACCTAAAAAAATGTTGCTATAATCAATGTCAGAGAGATTAACTCTGTGCTCTCTTCAAGGATTTTTATGGTTTCAGGGGCGCCTAGGTGACTCAGTAGTTAAACGTCCGACTTCGGCTCAGGTCATGATTTCACAGTTTGTGGGTTTGAGCCCCGCGTCAGGCTCCGTGCTGACAGCTAGCTCAGAGCCTAGAGCCTGCTTCAGATTCTGTATCTGCCTCTCTCTCTGACCCTCCCCTGCTCACACTGTCTCTCTCAGAAATAAATTTTAGAAAACGTTAAAAAAAATTTTTTTAAAGGATTTTTTATGGTCAGGACTCACATTTAGGTCTTTAATCCATTTTGAATTTATTTTTTGTGTATGGTTAAAGAAAGTGGTCAAGTTTCATTCTTTTGCATGTAGCTACCCAGTTTTCCCGACACCATTTGTTGAAGAGACTATGTTTCTCATATTGTGTATTCATTCTTCCTTTGTCAAAGGTTAATTGACAATATAATTGTGGTTTATTTCTGGGCTTTCTGTTCTGTTCCATTGATCTATGTGTCTATATTTTTATGCCAGTACCATATACTGTTTTAATTACTGCCACTTTGTAATATAACTTGAAATCTGGAATTCTTTTTCAAGATTGCTTTGGCTATTCGGAGTCCTTTGTGGTTACATACAAGTTTTAGGATTGTTTGCACTAGTTCTGTGAAAAATGCTGTTGGTGTTTTGATAGGGATTGCTTTAAATCTGTAGACTGCTTCAGATAGTATAGACATTTTAACAGTATTTGTTCTTGCAAGCTATGGGCATGGAATGTCTTTCCATTTTTTCACATCATCTTGAATTTCTTTCATCAGTGTTTTATAGTTTTCAGAGTACGGGCCCTTCACCTCTTTGGTTAAGTTTGTTCCTGTATATTTTATTGGTTTTGGTACAGTTGTAAATACTGTTTTCTTAATTTTTTGCTGCTTCATTATTAGTGTATAGGAATGCAACAGATTTCTATACATTGACTTTGTATTCTTTAACTTTACTAAAAACTTATTTATTCATTTATCAATTCTACTAGTTTTTTGGTGGAGTCTTTAGGGTTTTCTATGTATAGTGTTATGTCATCTGCAAATAGAGTTTTACTTCTTCCTTACCAATTTGGATGCCTTTCATTTCTTTCTTGTCTAATTGCTGTAGCTAGGATTTTTTCCAGTCCTGTGTGTGGAATAAAAATGGTGAGAGTGAATATCCTTGTCTTGTTCCTGACCTTAAGGAAAAAACTCTCAGTTTTTCACTATTGAGTATGATTTTGCTGTGTGTCTTTCATAGATGGCCTTTATTATATTAAAGTATGTTCCCACCAGACATACTTTGCTGAGGGTTTTTATCATGAATGGATGTTGTACTTGGTCAGATGTGTTTTCTGCATCTACTGAATGATCATATGATTGTCATCCTTTCTCTTACTAATGTGATGTATCACATGGATTGTTTTGTAAATATTGAATCACCATTGCATCCTGGGAATAAATCCTACTTGATTGTGGTGTAAGACTTTTTGATGTATTGTTGGATTCAGGTTGCTAATATTTTTTGAGGATTTTTGCATCTATATCCATGAGAGATACTGGCCTGTAGTTCCTTCCCTCCCTCCTTCCCTCCCTCCCTCCCTCCCTCCTCTCTTTCTCTCTCCCTCTCCCTCTCCTTCTCCCTCTCCTTTTCCCTCTCCTGTTTCTCTATCTTTAGGTTTGGTTTGGTTATTTGGGTGTCTTTATCTGATTTTGATATCAGGGTGATACTGGCCTCACAGAATGAACTTGGAAGTTTTCCTTCCTCTTGTATGTTTTGGAGTAGTTTGAAAAGTATAGGTATTAACTCTTCTTTAAATGTTCGGTAGAATTTTTTGTTACTATTGATAGCATTTTTACAAATATTCTTGTAGTCTCCTAGTATACTTGAATATGAATTACTTGAAAACCATACAATTGTGAGTGCTCAACTTTAAATTTTAATGCCAAATGGCTTTTACAAAGCAATTTGTACACTCTGCACTCACTAACATTGTACCAGTAACCATTGATCTACTTCCTCTCCACAGCTTGTTAGATTTCTTCAATTTTGCCATTGTACTTAGTATAAAATGGCTCTTTTCCTGGAGATAATATTCCTTCCCTTTTCTATAAAAGGCTTATATATAAAAAATTATTTAAAAAGAACTTTCTAGGGGCGCCTGGGTGGCTTAGTCGGTTAAGCGTCCGACTTTCGCTTAGGTCATGATCTCGCGGTTCGTGGGTTCGAGCCCCGCGTCGGGCTTTGTGCTGACTGCCAGCTCAGAGCCTGGAGCCTGTTTCAGAGTCTGTGTCTCCCTCTCTCTCTGACCCTCCCCTGCTCACGCTGTTTCTCTCTCTCTCTCCTAGAAATAAATAAAACATTAAAAAAAATTAAATAAATAAATAAATAAATAAAAAGAACTTTCTATCCCAGAAGGTATTTACCTATTTTTTTAAGTTTCTTTTTTCCATTTAGAATGAATTTCTGTGTGTGCATTAATACAGGGATCAAACTCATTTTTGTTTTGTCATATGGCGAACATATTACTTAATGCTTATTCACTTAATAGTACTTTCTTTCCCCAGTGACCTGTTCTTACATGTATTATCATATATTATATGATTATGATTATGTTATGATATGATATGATGTGATGTATTATGACGTGTATATCATGTGTTATGTTTTAGTGCTGTTTTCAACCTTGTGAAGGGACTTCCCTTCCTGCTGCTTTAAAAAATTGTGCCTTTGGAGGTTTCTAGCCATTCTGTGACTTCACTTACCATCAGTATGCCAATAGTATTAAAATGTATTTCTTCAAACCAGATCTTTCCTTTCAGCTTTATACCCATATATCCAGAGCTGCCTACTTGACATCTCCAAGCAGATATCTCACTACCGTGTAATATTAACCTGCCTAAAACAACTCGTGATTTCCCTTCTATCTCTTTCTGCCTCTCCCTCAGTCTTTTTTATTTCAGTCAGTGACATCTTCATCTTCCTAGCTTCTCTTTCTGTAAATCTTAGAGTTGTCTTTAATCATTTTCTCTCCCTTTCTCTTAATATCCAACCTATTTGGTGAAATTTTCAATTCTGCCTTCAAAAGAGATTTCACATCTTTCCCCTGCCAAGTCCTCAGTCTAACCCTCCTTGTCACTCAGCGGGGCTGATCTGTGTCTGCTCCCGCCTCTCTTATTCAGCAGACTCCAGTCTCACCTTGTAGTGCACAGTGTAGCGCCTCAAAGCAAGTATGCATCTTTTCCCTCGGAAATACCTTTTCGTAAATCCTTTGCTAACTTTTCTTTGTCCATCACATCTCAGCGTAACTATAAATTCCTTAGGCCTTTTCTGAATCACCAAAAAAAGTACGTTCCCCTGTTTTGTCTGCTTAAGGTACTCTCAAGTTTTCTTCATAGCATATACCACGAACTTAATTATACGTATAATTTTCCACTTTTTTGCAAAGACCTGGAGAGGAATTTCCTTATCTTTCCCACAAGACCATAAACTCTGTGACCATATGTGCAGGGATCATATATTTGTTTATTTTGGAATAATTTTCATGTTTAGTAACTATACTAAGTTTACTTTAAAGTTTACTAAAGTTTACTATACTTATAACTAAAGTTAGGGGCGCCTGGGTGGCTTAGTCGGTTAAGCGTCCAACTTTCGCTTAGGTCATGATCTCGCGGTTTGTGGGTTCAAGCCATGTGTTGGGCTCTGTGCTGACTGCCAGGTCAGAGCCTGGAGCCTGTTTCAGAGTCTGTGACTCCCTCTCTCTCTGACCCTCTCCTGCTCACGCTGTCTCTCTCTCTCTCTCCTAGAAATAAATAAAACATTAAAAAAAAATAACTAAAGTTATAAGTATACTTCATATACACAGTAGGCACCTGGTTTTTTTTTTTCTTTGAATGAACAGCATATGTCCTATAAGCTCCTTACTACAATCCTTAGAACACTGACTTCTTGCCTGTGTAAATGCAAAGTTTATATTGCATAAAATATAAAATAATCATCCAAATATTTGTCATGCATACAGTAGTTAGAAAATCCTTCAACCTTTTATTTTCTTTTTACTTAGTTATAAAGCAGTAACAGCTAGTAAGATAGAGGATCTTAAGCTGGAAAACTCAGCACTTCAGGAAAGAGTGGCCAGTGCCGAGAAAAGTGCAGAGGACGTTCAACATCAGATATTGGCCACTGAGAGTGCAAATCAAGAATATGCAAGGTATGTGGGAAAAATAAAACCTGCCCTCACTTGTATCCTTAGAACTATTAAGACAATTTAATGTTGAAAGCCAACTTCAGAATGATGCAGGGAATTGTAATTTCATGACTTGCTTTGGGTGATCTTCAATTGCAGAGTAAGAATTTACACTGTTAAAAAGGTACAGTTCTTGAAGAGTTCTTTGAATTGTGTTTTTCATTTGTTTTTTAAGTAAAAGAAAGTGGGAAAGTTACTAAAATGGCTATAAAATGTTTTTTGGACTCTATTTTCTCAAACCCTAGGATGCTTCTAGATCTGCAGACCAAATCAGCACTTAAAGAAGCAGAAATTAAAGAACTCACAGTCTCTTCTCTTAAAACAATAACTGATTTGCAGAACCAACTCAAGCAACAAGGTGAAGAGTTTAGGAAACAAGTAGAAGACGAAGAGGCAAGGTAATGTAGATTTAGACCCAGATTGCCACATAACCTCAGTTATTTCTTCTAGCACATTGTTTTTTGTTTTTTGTTTTTCATTCATTTTCCCTTACAGAAAACCTGGAGAAGAAAACACAGTGGCAGAAGTAACTGAGGAAATGAATAAGTGGCGTCTCCTTTATGAAGAGCTGTATAATAAAACAAAACCTTTCCAGGTTTGTCAGGACCACAATCACTTGTGTTTAGTTTAGGCACCTTATTCCCTGTCACAGTCACAACAGTGATTTGATTTTCCTGAAAGATCATTTTGCTGTGCATTTCCAGTGCCAATTTATGTCCCCATTAAAGGATACTTTACATTATTTAAAATTATTCCACAGGCATTTTTATGTAGCCTCTATAAGCTAAAAACTACCTTCTCATAAGAGACTTAATAGCTTAGAAGGCTCTCCTGATTGAAATTTTTTGTAATTAATCTATATAAATTTGTGATGCTTATTTTGGTATGATCTTGCTTAGTGTTTCTCAAATTAATACACTAATCTTAAAAAAGGATAAAGGCTAATTTTAACCCTTAAGAAGAGTGGGAAGGCAGTGTTGGTCACAATGTGATGAAGCAGCTGATATACAGAGTAGACTGGCTAGCTGGCCTTCTTTCCCTGGGTTTCTCCCTGCTTTAATGACTTTTGAAATGAAATACACAAAAGGTTTTTTTTTTTTTTAAAGAGTCCCAGAATTTATGGAGAACCTGAGACTATGTCAGCATGATCTGTTTTCGTCCATCTGTTTTTTATGTTCTTGTATATGAACTTCCTCTGTAGTTTCTATAAGACAGGTAAATTTAACATTTCTAAGTCTGTGAAAAAACTCTTTTTCAGCTGCAACTGGACGCTTTTGAAGCAGAGAAACAGGCTTTGTTGAATGAACATGGTGCAGCTCAGGAACAGCTTAATAAACTAAGAGATTCGTATGCTAAATTACTGGGTCATCAAAATCTAAAGCAAAAAATCAAGCACGTTGTGAAACTGAAAGATGAAAATAGCCAACTCAAATCGGTTTGTAAAATAATGCTTAGTCCTTTTGAAGTTATCAGGGTGGAGTATCTTTTATTCTAACTGTAAGAACATTTAAGTTCAACAAAGAACTTTGGTATCAGAAAAAACTTATGTTTATAGAGGAAAATCCATCTGAGAATTCTGGATTTATTTTAGAGCATTGACCAGATGGGTATTATGTTCTCAGGTTTTCCACATACGTCATTAGTATATTAAAAATTAGTATAACTAATTTCTAGTTAGTTCTATATTTCTATATATTTCTAGTTTCTATAACTAGAAATTAGTATATTAGAAACTAGGGCCGCCTGAGTGACTTAGTCGGACTTCAGCTCAGGACATAATCTCAAGTATATTAGAAATCACTAGTGGGATACCTGGATGGCTCAGTCGGTAAAGTGCCTGACTTCAGTTCAAGTCATGATCTCACTCACAGTTCATGGGTTTGACCTAACATTGGGGTCTCCGCTGTCATCACAGATCCCCCTTCAGATCCTCTGTCTTCCTCCCTCTCTCTTTCTCTCTCTCTCTCCAACCCTCCCCTACGCTCACACTTTCTCACTCTCTCTCACAAATAAAACATTTTCAAAAATCACTAGGGGCTCACGGGTGGCTCAGTAGGTTAAGCGTCTGACTTCGGCTCAGGTCATGATCTTAACAGTTTGTGGATTTGAGCCCTGCGTCAGGCTCTGTGCTGACAGCTTAGAGCCTGGAGCCTGCTTAGGATTCTGTGTCTCCCTCTCTTTCTACCCCTCCCCATCCCCCACACTCTGTCTCTCAAAAAAAGTAAATAAACATTAAACAGTTTTTCAAAAACATCACTAGTGTAATTGGAAGAACTCACAGAGCTTTACACATCTATTTCTATTTGAAAAATTACAAAGTCCTTGGTATAAATAAATATCATAAAGGTAAGCAGTACTTACAAATAGTTAAGCATTTGGGACACCTGGCTGGCCCAGTGGATAGAGCATGTGACTTGTGACCTCAGGGTCATGAGATTACTTTAAAAAAAACAATTAAGAATTTAACTGGTTCTTAACACCTTTATTAAGACATAATTTACATACCATACAATTCACCATTTAAAGTTGAGTTTTATACTAGTAGGTGGGTTTTAGCCCATTTACAAATATGCAACCATCTCCACAGTCAATTTTAGAACATTTGCATCACCTCAGAATGAAACTCCTTACCCTTTAACTGTCATCTCCTTACCTCCTCATTCACCCCTCCCACCACTAATCTACTTTTTGCCTATAAATTTACCTATTCTGAATATTTCCTGTTTGTGCACCCAAATAATATGTGGCCTTTTGTGGCTGGCTTGTTTTGATTAACAGTGTTTTCAGAGTTTGTCCATGTAGTAGCATGTATCCATACTTCGTTCTTTTTTATGACCCAATATTTAATTACTTGGATATGTCACATTTTATTTATCCATTTGTCAGTTGATAGACATTTGACATGTTTCCATCTTCAGAATGTTTATAAGTAATGCTACCATAAACATTCATGTACAAGTTTTTGTGTGGACATGTTTAGGTTTCTGTTGGGTTATACTTATAAGTGAAATTTCTAGGTAGTTTGGTAACTTAATGTTTAATCATTTGAGGAACTGTTTTCCAAAGCAGCTATAGATTTTTACATTCACCTACAATGTATGAGGGTTCCAGTTTTTCCATATCCTTACCAACATTTGTTGTTACCTGACTTTTTCATTCTGACCATACTAGTAGATATGAAGAGATACTTAATTGTGGTTTTGACTTCATTTCCCTAGTACTGATGTTGACCATCTTTTCATGTCCTTATTGGCCATTTGTATATCTTTCCTGGAAGAAAAAATCCTTTTCCTGCTTTTGATTGGATTATTGTTTTGTCTTAACAATTTATGAGAGTTCTGTATATCTTAAATATATGTTTTATATCAGATATAGTCTTTGAAAATATTTTCTTCCATTCTGTACATTCACTTTCTTGATGTTTATTGAAGCACAAAATTTTGACAGTCAAATATATCTATTTTTTCCTCTGTTTCTTATTCTTTGTTCTCTAACAATCTTTTGCCAAATCCCAGGTCTTAAAGATTTATCCCTATGTTTTCTTCTAAGAGTTTTTACAGTTTCAACTTTTACATTTAGGTTCTTGATACATTTGAGGATTTTGTATACAGTGAGAGGTAAGGGTCCAACTTTATTCTGTAGCATGTGGATCTCTAGTTGTTCTCATGCCAAATGTTGAAGAGACTATTCTTTCCCCCACTGAATGGTCTTGGCACCCTTGTGGAAAATCAGAAAATCATGTATTTAGGTTTTATTTCCAGACTCTCAAATGTTTTCCACTGATCTATACAGCTATCCTTGTGTTCCTCACTGTCTTAATTATTGTTGAATTGTAGTAAGTTTTAAAACGAGAAGGCATTAAAAAAAAGCCGGGGGGGCACCTGGATGGCTCTGTCAGTTGAACGTCCAACTCTTGATTTTGGCTCAAGTTATGATCTCATGGTTCTGTGGATTCAAGCTCTGTGTCGGGCTCTGCACTGATGGCACAGAGCCTGCTTGGGATTCTATGAAGGAAGGAAAGGAGGGAGGGAGGACAAAGGGGAAAGGAAAGGCATCTAAAACCAGGAGACATGAATCTTCCTACTTTTCTTCTTTTTCAAAATAGTTTGGCTACTCTGGTTTCTCTTCAGATCGTATAAATCTTTCGCCTTTTACAAAATAGTTTGGCTATTCTGGGTCCCTTGCAATTCCATATGAATTGCAGAATCAGCTATTCAATTTTTACAGAGTCATCTGAGATTCAGATGGGAATTCTGTGGAATCTGTAGATAGGTTTGGATCATATTGCCAACTTAACTATGTTACATCTTCTGATCCATGAACCTGGGATATTTTTTCAGTTATTTACACCTTTAATCTCTTTCAACAATGTTTTAGAGTTTTCAAATTGTAAGTTTTACACTTTTATTAAACGTGTTCCTAAGTATTTTATCCTCTTGGAGGTTATTGTAAATGAAGTTGTTTTCTTAATTTCATTTTTAGATGGTTCCTTGCAAGTGTATAGAAATAAAATTGATTTTTTATACCGAAATTATATCCTCCAATATTGCTGAACTCATTTATTTGTTGTAATAGATTTTTAATGGTTTCCTTAGGATTTTCTGTATAAATGATCATTTGTAAATAGAGATAGTTTGACTTCTCTTTTAACCTGAACACCCTTGATTACTTTTTCTTGCCTAAGTTCCCTGGCTAGAACCTCCAGACAATGTTGCATAGAAGTGGTGTGAGTGGACATCCTTGTTTTGGTCCTGATTTGGGTGGGAGAAAGCATTCACACTTTCACCGTTAAGTATGTTATTAGTTGTAGGTTTGTCATAGATACTCTTTATCAGGTTGAGGAAATTTCCTTCTATTCCTAGATTTTTTAAGTGTTTGTATTATGAAAGGGGTATTAAATTTTGTCAGAAGCCTTTTCTGTGTCTATTGAGATGATTACCTGACTTTCATTCTGTTAATATGATTTCTTAAATTAATTCATTTTTGGATATTAAATTAACCTTGCATTCCTGATAAATTTCACTTGGCCTAGTGTATAATTCCCTTTATATTGCTGGATTCACTTTGCTAATATATGCTGAGGTTTTTTTTCATCCCTATTCCCAACAGATAACTAGTCTATAGGTTTCATGTAATATTTTTGTCTGATTTTGGTATCAAGATAACACTGACTTCATAAAATTGGGAAAGATTTTGTCTTTTCTATTTTTTGAAATAGTGAATTGGTATTAATTGTTCATTGAATGTGCAATAGAATTCAGTAATGAAGTCATCTGTATCTGAGCTTTTTTTGTGTAGGTAGTTTTTGATTATTATCTAGTCTCTTATGAGTCTGTTCATATTGACTTTCTTTTTGAGAGAGTTTCAGTAGTTTGTGTCTTTCTAGGAATTTGTCTATTTCATTTAAGTTGTCTGACTTATGGATATACAACTCTCTGTAATATTTTTTAAAAAATTTTTTTAATGTTTATTTTTGAGAGACAGAGAGTGAGTGGGGGAGGGGCAGAAAGAGAGGGAGACACAGGACCCAAAGCAGGCTTCAGGCTCTGAACTGTCAGCACAGAGCCCGACGTGAGGCCCAAACCCATGGACCACAAGATCATAACCTGAGCTGAAGTTGGATCCTCAACTGACTGAGTCACCCAGGTGCCCCTCTTTGTAGTATTTTTTTAAATCCTTTTATTTTGGTAAGGTCAGTCACCATGTCCCTTCTTTCATTTCTGATTCTAGTAATTGAGTATTTTCACTTTTTTTTTTCTTAGTTCTTTTAGTTCTATGAATGTATCTATAATGGCTACTTTGAAATTTTTTTTTGGATCCAATATCTGGTTACTGTCACAGGCAGTTTTTTTCCCTGCTCTTTTCCAATGTATAGGTCATGCTTTCCTGCTTTTTTGTTGGAAAGTGGATTTTTTAATGTTTATTTATGTTAGAGAGAGAAAGAGAGAATGTGTGAGCAGGGGAGGTGCAGAGAGAGACAGAAGCAGAATTTGAAGGAGGGTCCAGGCTCTGAGCTGTCAGCACGGAGCCGCACGTGGGGCTTGAACTCACAAGCTGTGAGATCATGACCTGAGCCGAAGTTGGATGCTTAACCAACTGAGCTACCCAGGCGGCCCCAAAAAGTAGATATTTTAGATTATCTATTTTAGTGCCCCTGGTTACAGCACTTTCCTTCCAGGTGTTTGGTTATTTTCTTGTTGATTTTTTTTATTAATGAACTGAGTTGTGCTAGTGAAGTCCGTTCCTCCTCCCCACCCCCGTAGTGTAGTGCCTCTGATGCTGCTCAGGGAGGTTCATTCTGAAATGTGCCCACAGTCACCCTGGGATGACACTGATTTTGGTAGGGCTGTCTTCCTCTATTTCCCTCATCATATGTTAAACTCCACATGTTGCTAGATAAGTAGTCGCTTATTGCTCTTATTTTCAACAGTGCCCTGGAGTATAAACTGCTCTTCAGACTACTCCAGTTGAATTTTGGCTTGTTTGTTGGAATTGTGTCTGAGGTCATTGATTGATTGTGTTCTGGCTCCAGAAGGACTTCTCCCAGCTGACTTATTCACCAGTTCTAAACCTACAGCTTTGCCTGTATTTTGAATCACCTCCCAACTCCCTTGCACCACCATCTCGACTGTTAGAGCACCCTCCAGCTTGAGCTTCTCCAAATGCTGTTGGAAGTGAAGTCAGTTCCTGTGGGAAGAAAGTAGGAGCTATGTGTTTTATGGCCTACTTCTCCACCACTGCTCATGACAAGGCTTTCTCTGAACGAGACATCTGGCCTAGGAACTGAGTGCTTGGCAGACATAGGGGAGAGGGGCAAGGGGAGCACCCTGAGGTTATGTCAACTTGCCTTTCCTACCATGGAATCATCACCTTATGGACCAGGGCAGCAAAGGTGATCAGGGTCCCAGCATTTTGGCACACAGCACCTAAGGTAGAGCCCCTGTTATAGCACAGAAGAAAGGATCCTTTACCCGTCAACCACATTTGTTTGGGACGTGGCCTTAGCAACAGGTAGCTGGGGGCAAGAGGAGAAATGCTAAGATCATGCTCCTGGCAGGAAAAGCCTCTGAGCAGGAGCTAGAGAAAGAGAGGACCCTATTCTTGACTGCAGCTGTCTGTCCCACCTTGCTCAAGTGGCAGTTGAGACATTGGGAGCAGACTTGGTTCACATACCAGAGACTTCTGCCTTTTTTTAACCGTATTTTTCTAGATTTGCTTGAATAGATGTTTCTTCATTGGCTATTTTGCCTTAGGACCATTTTTAAAGGCCTTAAATGGTTGCCTTTGTAAAATAATTTTTAGTTTCATTAGGAAGCAGGTTACTGCAGCTTCTCTTGGTGTCATGCCACAAGTTCACCTCAGCATTTAATTTGGAGATGAACTGTTATCTAGAGCGTTGCTTTGTACCTGTAGAGTGGCAAAAAGATTTAAGTGTCTCATTATCTCCTTTGTCTCAGCAGTTCAGAGTCATTTTATAATTTGTAGTCTTAAAGCCGGTATCTCGTAGTGAGTTTTTGCATTTTGGTTGGATACATGAGGCGCTTGGGAATCTGTAACACTGATAACACACTTGACCAACATGAGCTTTAATAATTATTTGTTGTCTGTCTTTCTCTTACATAGGAGGTATCAAAACTCCGCTCCCAGCTTGCTAAAAAAAAACAAAGTGAGACAAAACTTCAGGAGGAATTGAATAAAGTTCTGGGTATCAAACACTTTGATCCTTCAAAGGCTTTACTTCATGAAAGTAAAGAAAATTTTGCTCTCAAAACCCCATTGAAAGAAGGTAAGAACTGAATACATAGGTAAGTGTTACCTTCCTTTGAATTTGCTTTTGCAGCATTTCGCAAGTTGTCCATTTTTATGAACTGTGAAAATTTGTTGATAGTTTTTGATATAAAAATTCATATTGGGACACCTGGGTGGCTCAGTCAGTTAAGCATCAGACTTCGGCTCAGGTCATGATCTCACTGTTCATGGAATCAAGCCCTGCATTGGTCTCTGTGCTGACAGCTCAGACCCTAAAGCCTATTTTGGATTCTGTGTCTCCATCTCTCTCTGCCTTTACCCCACTTGCACTCTGTCTCTCTCTGTCTCTCAAAATTAAAAAAAGTTAAAAAGAATTTTTTTAAATTTGTATTCATCTTTAACAATAAATCAAAACTGGTTGAAATAGTGGATGAAGAGGGACGCCTGGGTGGCTCAGTTAAGCATCCGACTTTGGCTCAGTTCATAATCTCACAGTTCATGGGTTTGAGCCCCATATTGGGCTCTGCGCTGACAGCTCAGAGCCTGGAAACCGCTTTGGATTCTGTGTCTGTCTGTCTCTCTGTCTCTCTCTTTCTCTCTCTGCCCCTCCCTGCTTATATGCCGTCTCTCTCTGTCTCTCTCAAAAATAAATAAATAAATATAATTTTAAAATGATGAATGAAGAAATATATTTATGGCACAGAATGCAAATATTGCTTCACCTGCCTTACAGATGGTAGGAAATGCCTGTTTTTAGTTTATAATGACTGATAGATTAGTTTTAACTTAGATTACTAATATCTCTTTTTAATAATTCTTCCAGGCAATACAAACTGCTGTTGAGCTCCTATGGAGTTTCAGGAATGATGCAAGTAAACATCTGAAAAACCTGTTAAAGATTATTTCATTCTTACTATTTTTATTATTATTATTGCTGTTGTTCCTGTTACTATTGTGTTTGTAATGAGTATTTTTAATGTATTTAATATTAACTTCCTATCTTTATGTATGTGAATGGAAGTTCAACATTTTTATCAATATGACTTCTGACATTTTTTTCTATTGTCTGTATCTCCTCCTTGATGCTTAGCTTTATTGCCTCATTTTAAACCTTTTCACTGGCTTTCCATCTTTACAACTTATCCCACCAAATCAACATTCCTTTAAAAATCACTCAAATTGTTATTCCCCTACTCTGAAACAAACATTATTTGGTTTCAAGATTCAAATCCGTAGGTTTTTTGGTGTGATGCTGGAGGCCTTTTCTAATCTGAGCTTCTTAAACTAGGCGAAAACACCTGTTCCTACCTCTGCTTTGATTGTCTAATAAGGTTCATTCTGTCATACCCATCATCCATTTATCCCATTCAAATAAGAAATAAGGGTATGCCTAACTCCATAGTAATCTCTTTGTCTCCTACCAGGGTCACTAAGTTGGTCAATAATTTGTGGATTCCTCGACTCCATCTCAGTCCTACTAAATTAAAATCTGGTGTTTAGCTTGAAAATTTGCATTTTTAACAACTGCAGTCAATTCTTAGATACACTAAAACTCTGAAAATCTATGCTCATAACCTCAACAGAATTTGTCATTAGAGTGCCTGCCATCTGACTGCTGGATGCTTGATTAATACTTTTGTAATATGAAATAAAATCACACATTAAATCATTTACTCAGTTATTCAACTTGTATTACATGAAGTTATTTAATGGTTCTATTTAAGGTGTATTGTCTCTGCTCTCGCCTCCCCATCTTGTCCTCAGAATAACACTTGGTAGTATGTTATTTAGAAAATGGTGAGCCTTCATCTAAAATGACTGATTTACAAAGTTGGTATGATATTGTAAGCTACAGTTCTGAAGAAATGTAGAAATTAGAAAAAACAATGTGCCTCAAGTGTAAAGACAAAAGGAAGTGAAAATTGAAGCAATGTTAAAACATGTACGTACTGAGACATGACATCAGTAGTATGGCAGAGTAGAAGCCTTGGACCCTCCTTCTCCCCACAGACATACAGAATCAGCAATAATACAGAGACAAATTCCCCTTGTGAGAAATCCAGATTCTCGTTGAGAGTGCCAAGAATATAAGTAGAGAAAGGATAATGTATTCAACAACTATATCTAAATGCAAAAGAATGAGGCCGTACACAAAAATCATCTCAAAACCCTTAAACTATAAAACAACTAGAAGAAAATATAATAGGAAAGCTTCATGACATCGGTCTTCACAGTGATTTCTCATACCAAAAGTCACAGGCAACAAAAGCGAAACTGGACAAGCGGGACTACAACTAAATTTTCTACATGACAAATGAAACAACAGAATGAAAAGAACCTATAGAATTCAGGAAAATATTTGCAAACTATACGTCAAAGGGGGTAATTCCCAAGATGTATAAGGAACCATACCCAATAGCAGCAACAACAACAAAAAATCTAATGTAAAAATTGCCAAAGAATTTGAATAGTTATTTCTCCAAAGAAGACCTACAAGTGTTTAACAGGTATAGGAAAAGATGCACAGGGTCACCAGTCATCACAAAGAGAAGATATTTCATACCTGTTGGGATGGCTGTTAAAAAAAAAATAAAGATAAGTACTAGGATATGGAAGCATTAGAACCTTTGTTTTTTGTGGTTTATTTATTTAAATTCAAGTTAGTTTACATACAGTATAGTTTGGTTTCAGGAACAGAACCCAGTGATTGGAACCCTTGTACAGTTGTTGGTAAGAATATAAAGTAGTGTAGCCACTATGGAAAATAGTATGGAGATTCCTCAAAAACTTTAAATTAGAACTACCATGTGATTCAGCAACCCAGCTTCTGAGTATTTATCCAAAAGAATTGAAACGAAAATCACAAGAAGGTATTTGCACTTCCGTGTCCATTGCAGCCCTATTCCCATTAGCCAGGCTATGGAAACAACCTAAACATCTGCTGACCAATGAATGGATAAAGGAAATACATACAATGGAATATTATTTGACCTTAAAAAAAAAAAAAAAAAAAAAAGGAAACCCTGCCTTGCTGCTATAACAAATTAACACAAATTTAGTGGCTTTAAAGACCACATATTTATTATCTAATAATTCTGGAGGCCAGAAGTCTAAAATGAATGTTACAAGGCTAAAATATAGATGTTAGTGGGCTGTGTCCCTTCTAAAGGCTCTAGGGACAAATCTGTTTTCTTGTCTTTTCTAACTTCTAGTGGCTGCCTGCTTGCTTTGGCCCATATCCCCTTCCTCCATCTTCTATGCACATCACTCCAACCTCTGCTTCAATTGTCACACCTTTGTTACTCTGACCTTCCTGCTTCCACCTTAGGACCTTTTGACTATATTGGGCCCACAGAGTTAATCAAGTATAATCTCCTCATCTCAAAGTCTCTAATAACATCTGGAAAATTCCTTTTGTCATATAAAGTAGCATCCATAGGTTCCAGAGATTACAATGTAGACATCATTGAAAGAGTCATTATTTTGTTAACCATGGTCATCAAGGATGATATAGCATTTCCAAGATGTTCTCGGACACTTGCTCTTGGAATCCAGCCATCTTTCCTCAATTCCCTGCCTTTAAGCCAACTGCTCTAGGTGACATAGAGCAGCAATAAATGGCCTGGGCTGAGTCCTACCCAAATTACAGGTTCATGGGCAAAATAAATACCCAAATTATAGATTTGTGGGCAAAATAAATAATTGGGATGGCAATTGATCCTAAAATTCTTACCAGGCCACCTTCTGTTTAATTCACTTTACTATTTATGTTAGGTGTAATGGCCCATTACTCTATCCTTTATCTTTCTGTGTAGTTCCTCCCACCTTTGTGTTAAAATTCAACACTGCACAAATTTACTTGCCTGCATCTTATGCCTTTGTACTCAGGCTTTTGAACAGTACTAAATAAAATCCTCTCACATTAAAAATAGTGGCCATGTCCTGCTTTCCAACCTCACATAGGCTCTTGATGTCACCAAACAATTCTGTATTTTTTCTTTCACATTTTTTTTAAGTAAGCTCTGCACCAAACATGGGCCTTAAACTAATGGCCCTGAGATTAAGATTCACATGGTCTATAGACTGATCCAGCCAGTCACCTCTCTTTCCCATTTTTAATTTTCCCCAAATCTTAGACTTCAGCATCTCCCTCTTAGCCAATGATAGCTATTTCTACTTCACAAAGAAAATAGAAATAATCAATGGTAGAATTTTCTCAAAATGTAGGTTATCCAATAAATAGTTTGAGGATGACTGGCTTTCCATATAGAGGAAAGAAGTTGTATCTTTCACCTCACTTTCAAGCCAAAATTAAATTACAGATTAAATTTAAAAATCTAATCACAGTACAAGATAATGTGTCTTTATAATTTCAAAATAGAGAGATTTTGTAAAGAAGACTATGAAGCCACAAAATATAGCTGTGGTTTCATAAAAAGTAAAAGAATCTGGATGGAGAAAAGCTCCATGTTCAAATGACAAACACATATGATAGGCAAAGCAAATTTCTTCTGATTGGAGAGTACTATAAATGAATAAGTATAACACCTAAAGTCCAAAAGTAAGCAAGATCTATGCAGACAGAACCTAGAAGAAATGCAAATGTTCTTTAATTTTGAAAAGATAATCTTACTCATCATATAAGAAATGTAAAATGAAATGCTGATATTTCCATATCAATTAGCAATGATCAAAAAACATGATGATAGGGGTACTTAGGTTGCTCAGTCAGTTAAGCATCAAACTCTTGATTTCACTTCAGGTCATGATCTCATTGTTTGTGGGTTCAGGCCCGCATTGGAGTCTGTGCTGACAGTGCAGAGCCTGGTTAGATTCTCTCTCCCTCTTTGTCCCACCCCACTCATAAGCTCTCTCTCTCTCTCTCTCTCTCTCTCAAAAATAAACATTTTTTTAAAAAATGATAAACTGTGATGATACACTGTAGATACATCACTGTGTAAAAATCAACTGAACAGTATCTGTTAAAGTAAAAAAATCTTATTCTCCAGAAATTTTTTCCCAAGACTTCATCTTTCAGATATCTATACAAAGCCTTCAGTATAAGAATGTGCCCTGTAAAATTGTTTGGTAGCAAAAGGGAATACAGTCCCTGATGAGCTAAGTGGGTAACTAAGATCTTAGTTTGCAGAGTACTTAGTGACCTGGTGCAGTCTTACCCTGACCTTACCTATCCAGGTCAGTTCAGGAGGTAAGCATGACCCAAGACCTGAAGAATGGGTAGGGGTGATTCAGATGAAGAAAGATCATAGATATGAGGATTCACTCGAAATGTAACATCAAATGGGAAGGTACAAGAGTTTGGCACTTTTGAGAAACCACATTTAATATCACCAGTAGAGGGGCGCCTGAGTGGCTTAGTCGGTTAAGCGTCCGACTTTCGCTTAGGTCATGATCTCGCAGTTCGTGGGTTCGAGCCCCGCGTCGGGCTCTGTGCTGACAGCCAGCTCAGAGCCTGGAGCCTGTTTCAGTCTGTGACTCCCTCTCTCTCTGACCCTCCCCTGCTCATGCTCTCTCTCTCTCTCTCTCTCTCTCCTAGAAATAAAAAAAAATTTTTTAAAAAGTAGAAAAATGGCAAGAAGTTAAACTGCAAGGGTAAGCAGATCTCACTGTGTGAATGACAATAGAGTAAAATACATAAGAAATTTGATCTTTGGGGTGCCTGGCTAGCTCAGTCATTAAAGAATCCAACTCTTGATCTCAGGGGAGTTCAAGCCCCTCATTAGGCTTGGAGCCTATTTAAAAAAAAAAAAAGAAAGAAACTTGTTCTTTAACCTGTGGATAATGATGAGTCATTAAAGGGCATTAGATATGTTTTTGAATGTCACTCTGGCTGCTGAGTGGAAAATTAATTCTATGGGAATAAACCGGAAGTCAAATCATTCATCCAATAATATTTACTAGTACCTAGTATGTGTTAGACACTGTCTAGTTGCTTTAGAAAAAGAAGAAAAAAAGATAATAATTGGGTAAAAGCAGAAGATGGCCCGTAGCCTGAGGGAGAGTTGAAGGATTTCTGGTTTAGACAATGGATGGGGGACCTTGATATCCCCTGAGATAAAGAACTTGGGTGAAAGAGCCCATTTGCCAAGTGAAGGAAACACATTTGGTTTGGAACACACTGAGTTTGAGGTAAAGTGGAGTAATCAGGTAGAATCTTGTATATACAGGTCTTCAGGAAAAGGCTCTAAACAACACACATCTGGGAATGATGAGTGTGCACATGGTAACTGATCCTTACGGATCAGTCATGTAACAACTACCAATGTTTTTTAATCACCACTATTCCAGAGACTATAGAAATGTACAAAGACAGTTCCTATCTTCCCA